ACCATAACATTGCCAAATACAATTTTTTGGTAGCAATTGGAAATCTCCTCTGTCACATATCTCCCATACTCCCCCAGCCTGGTCACAGGTCAAAGCTAATGCATCACCTCAGGGTTGGTCCAGTATTGGTCTGCTGGGTTCCCATATAGAAATCTGAGATTGGGTTCTATTCCCCTCATCAACTTCACAGAAACAGTACATTTCCACTATATGTCAGGTCATAGCTCCAGAGACTTGGTCCCCCAGGCAGCTCTGTCCTTGTAGAAATGCAGGTGCTGAGGTCTGGTGACTAAAGAGCAGCTCAATGGAATGGAGGGGACATGCAGGTGAGAGTGGGGCTGTTTTCCCATTACCTGGTCATCCTACTGAGTGCTAGTTTGGTGTTAAGTGAAATGGAAAATCAGGAAAGAGCTGAGGGTGCAATACCTCAGAAACTAGAGGATTAAGAATATATGAGGGCCCTGACTGGTTTGGCTCAGTGAATTGGCCTGTGGACTCAAGGATCTCAGGTTCTATTCCAATCAAGGGCAGGTACCTTGTTTGCGGGCACATCCCCAGTAGGGGGTGTGTAGGAGGCAGCTGGTCAATATTTCTCTCTCATCGATGTTTCTAACTCTCTATCCCTCTCTCTTCCTCTCTGTAAAAAAATCAATAAAATATATATATTTTTAAAAGAATATACAAGGAAGACTGCTTTCCTTATTGTATTTTGGCTTTCTTCCTAGGTACCTAGTGAACCTTACTTAAGAGCTTTGAGAGAGATGAGAAGCTATTGATTGGTACAGGAGCTGGGAAGTCAACAAGCAGTTTTATTCCTTTATTCCTTAAGAGATTTTATACTCTTAAAATATAACTCTTACTTTGTTGTTTTGTTGAATTAGATCCTATATGATCTAATTCAGCTAGCCCATTGCTCTCCTGAGCAGAGGACCTCAGTATCCCCATCAGCAGATGACAGTGGCCTGAACAGCCCTTGTTTCAGAGACATAACATGAAGGGAACTCTATAATCAGGAAACTGGGCACCACCATCTTGTGGCTGTGGGCACTTCCATAGTTGAGGGTGTGGCAATTAATTAGCATATTCCCTCCTTATTGGCTGTGGGTGCCACCGTCTTTGTGAGGGCATGATAGTCAATTAGCATATTCCCTCTCTATTAGATAGGAGGATTCCCTCCCAGTGACATCCCAAAATATCCTTCCAATATGCCTACTTCTAAGATCTATGTAGAGAAATCAGACTTCTGACTGAATGAGCTGGGAAAGAAGTGCTTAATAAATATTTAAAATAAGATTCAAAGATTTTGCACGTTGCCTGGTGCAGTGAGTAGGGAGAAAATTGACTGAACTCGACTCTGATTTTATACTCTTAAAGTATAATTCTTACTTTGTTGTTTTGTTTCTCTTTTCTTTTTCTATTTTTAAATATAATTCTCCCCTGTCCCTCAAATAACCACCCATCTATTCTAAGAGCTAGAGATTGAGTGTTCTCAGCCAGTGAAACCTGACTTTTTGCTTCTGTTGTAAATAGAAACATAAACACTGCTCTTGCATGTACTTTATAGACACAGCCTCTCTAGCACTTTCCTCCACTGCCAAAGGATGTGCACGACTTCTGAGTCAGCAGTAATCTACCAGGGGACAGAGCAGCATGCAGAATGTTGTCAACTGGTAGAAATTGCACCGATGCTCTGCAAACCTGGCATTCATCTCCTCTTCCTCTTGCCTATTCAGGCTCTTTACTTCTCTTATCTCTTCCTTCCACACATTGGCTTTTCAGTCCCCAGGATTTCTGGTACTTTCAAGCTAGGTTTCCTGGTCTGTAAGGTTCCTGTGATTATGAATGTTGATTTTCCCCAGGATATTTGGGATATAGTGTACACAGGCGTGGTTCATGAAGGGCATGATCAAGATTTGACTTTCAGAAATGAGGAAGATAACAGGAATGGCCCTTCTGCAATTTTCCTCAGCTGCTCTAAGAGTGAATCAGAATGCCAGATGAGTCCCTTTGATAAATGAGACATCTGAGTCTACAGAACAACTGTTCCACCCTGAGTGTCTTTCCACTGCTGCCATTTGGCTTGCAAAGTAGGAAAAGTGAGGCAGCCCAAGGGAATAACTTTAGTGTAGTCTTACCTTGGGTGCCTGTCACATTGTTCCAGGAACCAACTTACCTCTATTTATCTGTTGTCATTAGTGACCTGTAGGTCTAAATCCCTTCAGCTGGGCACTTAATACTTGCCTGCCACTTGGAAGCAGGCCCTTGCTCAGCTGTCTGGGAGCTGTGGCCAAAACCTGTAAATTTCAAAGTGTGTTATATCAACAGAAGGGTTAGGGGGCCAGTTACTAGTGGAGGTGTTCATCTGAGCTGGCATTTGATTTGGACTCTTGGTGGTTAGCAACTCTTTGGAAATGAATATTTATTTCAGAGTGGGCGATAGCCAACTAAAAGATATTAGCCTACATAGAAGGCTTCTCTGAAAACAAAAGCATGAGATTCTTTTAGGGAAGTGTGAACATAAAGTGGGCTTTATGACAGGGAGAAGGGCTTTTAGAAACACATATTGCAGGATCTTTAATGTGTTGGTTTTAGCAAGAAAATTATAGTACTGAGTGCTCCAATTCTGGGAAGGAGTGGAAGGAGTGGAAGGAAGCAGCTTAGGAACAACAACAACAACAAAAATCATTTTCTTTCTTGACATAAGGCAGAGAGATTTGACCAGGTGTACGAAAGCTTTCCAAACATTGTGACTGGTGGAGTTAAGGTTGATGATGAACACAGGTAGGGTATGCAAAGTGGCTTGCAGAATGCTGTCTGTTTTCCAGAACAGCAAATAAAGCTACAGAAATATCCACAGAGAGGTCCCTTGGCAGAGCAAACACTCTAGGATAGGGGTGTCGAACTCAATCAGAGAAGGGGCCAAAATCTAAAATCCAGCCTAAATCGCGGGCCGAATGGTTTACTGAACAGTCATAAACTGTCATTGTGATGGAAACGCAGCGGAGTGCAGTGATGACAGCGAGGTGCGGGCCACATTGCAAGGCCTGGCAGGACGGATTTGGCCCTCGGGCCTTGTGTTTGACACGTGTACTCTAGGACCATTGTTTCTAGTCCTTAGTTATGACCTGTCGCCCTTCTGCCTTTAGATAAACACTTGTTGTTTTTTCCCTGCCCCTACAGCCATCTTTTGACTATCATTTCTAAGATAGGCCTTGATTTGTAAGAAAAAGAATGGGCTCTTTATAGGAAATTTAAAAGATTTCTCTTTCTGTTAGGTTACCTAGAATAAACTTTTATTTAGGGGAAACTGGAGGTGAATTCCAGTTAATTCCACTCCTTACTGGATTCTTGGACAGGTAGATATTGGAAGTTTCTTAGTAGTGTAGTTTTTATATCCAAAGCTAGGAGGGGTTGTTGAGTAAGTGATATATTTAGAAGTCCAATGCGCTATCCATTGCGCAACAGAGCCAGTAAGTGATATATTTAGGAGGAGAAGCCAAGTCAATGTATTTTGGGTAAAGAATTACCATCTTTGACTTAACCTCTACAGTACATGAAGAGATTCCATCTGTTGACATAGAAAACAAAGGGAAATGGTTATTCCTTGTATTCAGTTATTAACTTTCACTCATGAAACTTAAGATACATTTTCAGTTGATTTGGTTAACCTTATGATATCATGGTGAAGTTTGGAGCAAAGTTACTTCTACTTCACAAAAAGGGGTTCCGTTTCTCAGAGGCCTACTCAATGTAAGAGCTTCAGGAAAAAACATGGATCTCTTCCCTTGTTCTCAGTCTGGAACTTGATGCCTGTCTTCTGAGAATGGATTTCATTAGCACATACAGTTTGGTGGCTCCCACTGTCCTTGGGTTGGTTCATTAACAGTGGGTTACTTCTATACCTGAACACGGTGGATCAACAACTCACTTCTTCCACCTGCCCCCATCTCCAACAGTAAATCCTCTTTAAAGCAAAGTTCCAGTGTAGTCCTGTTTGCCACACTAACAAATTGGAGATGCTCCTGTGGTGGACCATCATGACTACAGCACCAGAAATGAGTACTGTGACCATGAAGGTATTCTTGGTATTAAACTTTGAAAACTTCAGAATTAGAAGAGAGTCTTACTGCCTTGCCCTCCCTTTCTGTTTGTCCTATGGATTAGTTTTGGTCTTTGGACCTTTGCCTCCCTCTTTCCTGCCCAATTATACTTATAAAGAGTGATAATAAATAAAACATGGTACAAAAATTATGAAAAAGACCCAGGGGAGTGAGTGGATGAAGTAAGACCTAATGTGCCATCTTTCATCTTAAAGCTTCTTCCCAGCAAACACAGGATAGTGGATGTATAGATAGATGTTTTTGATAAGTGGAACATATAGACATCATCATTATTATTGTCAAATATATCTGTGAGAAAGTGGAATGGCTATAAGATCTTCCCACCCTGCCATATACTATATGCAGTGGCAGGGCTTTTTCGGTCTTTAAATTCTTGCTGACTTTGATACTTCTGAACTTTGTGCTTTTTCAACTGCTATGACACTACCCTTTGGTTCTCTTCAGACCTCTTTTCCCTTGCCTCATAATCTTTTTCTAGAGAGCTCATCTATCTCTGTCAGCTCCTTACAAGTTTATGAGTCCCAGGTCTTATTTAAAGCCCATGGCTCTCCTCTTACCACTGACTCCCCTTGTGTTCAGCTATCATTGGTTCAACTACCACCTGTATGCTAATGATGCCTAAATCTAGGGTTGGGTCCCTAGCTACCTCCCAAGCTGCAGATTCATACCTACCTACCTAGTGAGCACCTCCACAAAGGCAGCACAAGCATATCAGGTCTAAAAGGTAACTTACCACCCCACCCTCACAAATGAGTTCTTCTGTTTTTAATCCACTGGCCTGATGTCTTTCACTCAGTGACCAGGAAACCTGGGGATCATTTTTGACTCTTTTACTTCAAGAATCACTCACAAGCCTTCCTGTTTCACTTCTTTTCCCAGGTCCTACACTTCTTCCATGCCTGCTAACACTTATTTACCCTGAAAGACTCAGCTGTCACTTCTCACAGGTTCATCTTCAACGAGGACTCTCTCCCTATGACTTAGGTACTCTCCCTTAATGTTCCCAAATCTCTTGTGCCTCACTAATGACACTTAGCATAGTACATTTAACATTTTATCTGTCTCACCCACTAAACTGCAAATCCTTTGTTGTATTAATCTTTCCTTCCCCAATACCTCAGTGCCGGGAGTATAGAAGGTATGCAATATACATTTGTTGAATGAATGACTAGAATGCTTAGGATTTCCATTGAAAAAGAGTTATCTCTCCTAGAAAATATTTGTAGATAAAATTTGGATTTGCTTACCATTCCTTTTTCTTTATTTTTGTTAGATTAATCTGACAGTGTCAAGTGGACTAATCACCATCCCACTGCCCCCTTTGTCTGGTGTGCTTAGAGTGGGGAAGCATGGAGGAGAGTAAGAATGAGACAATGAATCAAGCACACACCCTCTTTGACAAGTTTGTGCAGGCTACCACCTGCAAGGGGACTCTTAATGCCTTCCAAGAGCTCTGTGATCACCTGGAACTGAAGCCTAAGGACTATCGCTCCTTTTATCACAAGCTCAAGTCAAAGCTCAACTACTGGAAAGCCAAAGCCCTCTGGGCAAAGCTGGACAAACGGGGCAGCCACAAAGACTACAAAAAGGGAAAAGCATGTACAAACACCAAGGTAAGCTTTGGCTGTTCTGAGGCCTTGGGGTTATTGACCTTAAGATTTAACCAATAAAGAAAAGATTTTGAGTAGGGGTAGACCTTGAAAAAAGGATCAATTAGAAGCTGACTGGGTGAAAATAGGCCAAAACTGGTTTGGCTTAGTGGATAGAGCATCAGCCTGCGGACTGAAGGGTCCCAGTTCGATTCCGGTCAAGGGCATGTACCTTGGTTGCAGGCCCATCCCCAGTAAGGAGTGTGCAAAAGGCAGCTGATCAATGATTCTCTCTTATTGATGTTTCTATAACTCTCTATCCCTCTCTCTTCCTCTCTGTAAAAAATCAATAAAATATATATTAAAAAAAAAAAAAATAGGCCAAATCAGCCGTGATCTAGTAGAGGAAATCAAACTTTATACCTTGTGAAGGTTTATGGAACTATTATTCATGTTCATTTGACTGCTCCATGTGCCGAACTTTATTCTTATTTCATGTATTCATATATTGAACACTCAGGGTTTTAACTATTTCAGAATAACTTTAATGATGTAGCAACTTTTTTTGCTGAGGCTTTGTTTTGAATCTCACATTGATCAGCTGCCTCCTGCACACACATACCCTGCCCCCTCCCCCTCACTGGGGATCATGGATACATACCCTGGCCCTACACGGGATCGTGGATGAGGATCTTTTAGCAAAAACGTAGCCAGGCCCTGTTAGCATCCTGTACAAACATGGTTTCATGGTGCTTGGCAATTCAACTTTACAAAGTCCTTGTTCTATACTCAGTAACTGGTAAGGTATAGATAGCATCTGCCAACTTGGGAATTTGCCACAGGCTTCAGACCTCTTTTATTCATATTTCAGAAGTATATGTTTTCTTAAGCAATGGCCTTATGAACCAAATTATTTCCTTTGGTTTTTTCACAAAATTCAGAAACAGTGTTTTCATGAAAAAGGTAGACCTCAGCAAAGACCTGAGCTATTCAGTCAGCTGTGCAAGGAAGGGTAGGTGTGAGGAAGTAGAGAAAGAACAATGTATTTCCTGCTTTCCTGCTTATATAAGAATACATCTTCTGGGAGAAAGCTAACACATAAAGTTGTAAATGACTTCATGATTATGTTATTAATGTTCTTTCATGAGCTTTAATTTGCCTAGTATAGGTACTTAGAGACCTATCCCCAGCTGATTTGTATATGGTTAAATTTTTTACGTAGTTTTTTATTGATTTCAGAGAGAGAGAGAGAGAGAGAGAGGGAGAGAGAGAGAGAGATACAAACATCAGTCATGAAAGAGAAGCATTGATTGGTTGCCTCCTGCACACCCACACTGTGGATCAAGCCTGCAACTTTGGCATGTACCCTGACCGGTAATAGAATCATGACCTTCTGCTCCATGGGTTTGTTCTCAACCCCTGGCCACACTGGCCAGGCTATTTAATTAGATATTGATCAGCAAAATTCAAGAAATTCAAAGTCATGACTTTAAGAGTGAGTTCTGGAGTTTTATTAAGGATAAAAGGAATTCAAAGTCAAAATATTGCATGTTCTGTTTTTTTTCTTCTGCACATACAATGCAAATTAGTTAAGCGTCCAGTCTCACTCTGAGTACTTCTGTAAAAAATGGATTTTCAAGATCATTTTTCTGGACTTTCAGTCTAAAGATATGATTTAAGAACTTTTTCAGCCCTAGCTGGTTTTGCTCAGTGGATAGAGCCTCGGCTTGTGAACTGAAAGGTCCCAGGTTCAATTCCGGTTAAGGGCACATGCCCAGGTTGTGGGCTCCATTTCCAGTAGGGGACTTTCAGGAGGCAGCTGATTCATGATTCTCTTTCATGGATGTTTCTATCTCTCTCTTCCTCTTCCTTCCTCTCTGAAATCAATAAATATATATTAAAAAACAAAACAAAAAAACTTTTCAGCACATAAAACTTTGGCTCTTGGATGTTATCTCCTGGAAATCATTTGAATGAAAGACCCATTCCAGGACTCTAAGCTTGCAAGGACTATGTATTTAATAATCTATGTCTTGGACAGAAATCTGCTTGACTTAGAAATTTTCCAAAAGATCCTCTCCTGCCCAGCCAGTGTGGGTCAGTGGTTGAGCATCAACCTACCAACCAGGCGGTCATGGTTTGATTCCTGGTCAGGGCATATGCCTGGATTGCAGGCTTGATCCCCAGTGGGGGGCATGCAGGAGGCAGCTGATCAGTGATTCTCTCTCATTGTTGATGTTTCTATCTCTATCTCTCCCTTCTCTGAAATCAATTCTATCTAATAAAAGCCTAATATGCTAAGTGTCTGGTTGACAGGTCAGCCATTTAACCAATCAAAGAGTAATCCTACTTAGTAAAAGAGAAACATCCAAATTAAACATCACTCCGCCACACCCACCAGCCCATCAGAGCAAATATGCAAATTAACCCAACAAAGATGGTGGTTAATTTGCATACACAGGCACTGAGTGGCCTGGCCCCTGGGAACAACCTTAGGACCCAGGCTGCTCCTAGCCTGTAGGCCCGCACTTTCACCCTGAGTGGCAGGGATCCCAGAACCTCCGCTGGCCACTCCAAGCCTATGGGTGCAGCCTCTTGTGAATGCTCGGGCACCAAGTGGAGGTTTGGGTCCATGCCCCCCATCCGGCACCCACGACAGGACTGGCTGCTGGCCTCTGGGGTGTGCGGAGACCCTAGCAGCTATCACTGCATACGGCCCAAGGGTCCCTGTATGCCCCCCAGTCTGGCATCCATGGTGAGGCTGGCTGCTGGCCTCATGGGTGTTCGGAGACTGGGATGTTCCCCGCCCCCGCTGCCCCCAGCGGCTTGTGCATGCTCTAGCACCAAGCTGCGGTTCGAATCACACCCCCAGGCCAGTGCCCTCAATGGGGGGATGGCTGCCGGCTTCTGGGGTGTGCGGAGACCCTGGTGGCCACCACCGGTGGCAGGAACACGTCCCTAGCCCAGTGGACACAATGTAGGGGCTGCATAAGCTGCAGAGGAAACACCTTTTTAAAAATATATATATTTTTATTGACATTTTTTACAGAGAAGAGAGAAGAGGGATAGATAGTCAGAAATATCAATGAGAGATCGATTAGCTGCCTCCTGCACACTCCCCACTGGGGATGTGCCTCCAACCAAGGTACATGCCCTTAATAGGAATCAAACCTGGGACCCTTCAGTCTGCAGGCCCACAGTCTATCCACTGAGCCAAACCAGTTTGAGAGTAAATACCTTTTCTGACAGCTCATTTGCTAAGATCCCTGTAGGCTGCCACTTGCAGTGTTCTTGATAACTTAGGTTATAAGAATCTAAGAAGGTGATCTAGGGTTTTCCCAGTATACTCCTGGAAGATAAAAAGGAAGGTCCACTACTTGAGGAGCTAATAAATGTCATATCCTGCCCTAGCTGGTTTAGCTCAGTGGATAGAGCCTCCGCCTGCTGACCGCAACGCCCAAGTTGGATTCTGATCAAGGGCATGTACCTAGGTTACAGGCTCCTCCCTGGTCGAGGCCCAGAGAGACACTTTGATTGGTTGCCTCCTGCATGAACCCTGACCTGGTTCATGCAGGAGGCAACCAATCAAAGTGTCTCTCTCACATTTATGTTTCTCTCTGTCTCTCCCTTTCTCTTCCACACTCTCTGAAAATAAATGGAAACATATCCTCAGGTGAGGATAAAAAAAAAGTCATATCCTATCTTGAAAATGCCTAAAGAAAGTTGTCATTTTTCACAGTAAAGGCACTAGAGTTTATGTTGATGAAAACACCTTGGTGGCTGGCAGTGGCTGCAGCAATGGGATAATAGGGCTGGTGTCTTCTCTTGATCAGACTGGTCGCCTGACATCCCTGGAGGGGTCCCAGATTGGAGAGGGTACAGGCTGGGCTGAGGGACAACCCCTCTGTGCATGAAATTAGTGCACCTGGTCTCTAGTATGTTAGTGATATACTAAGGCCACTCAACCGCTTGCTATGATGTGCACTGACCAACAGGGGGCGAACAGTCAACCAGTCGACCAGTTGCTTTGATATGCACTGACCACAGGGGACAGTTGACCAATCGACCAGTCACTATGACATGCACTGACCATCAGGGGGCAGGTACTCCAACTGGTAGATTAGCTTGCTGCTGGGGTCCAGCTGATTGGGACTGAGCGAGATGGGCCACACGCCCTGGAGCCCTCCTGCAGTCTCTCCCCTGCTGGCCAATCTCCCATGACTCTCCCTAGTCCCAATTATGCACTGGTGGGGTCCTTCGGCCTAGCTTGCACCCTTTCACAATCTGGGAACCCTTGGGGATGTCAGAGAGCCAGTTTTGGCCCCATCCCACAGGCCAGGCCTAGGGACCCAACTGGTGCAAGAATTTGTGCACCAAAGCTTCTAGTAAAAATATATCTAAAAGCAAAAAGTAAAAGGTCCTTTTCTGTTGATGAAAAATGAAATGTGATTTTCAATCGTTTGTTTAAACTATGACCTATTTAAATATGTTCCAGATCTACAGGGTGAACATGTGCTAAGTTGTATCCAGCATTGACAATTATGTCTTCTTTATTCATAGCCACCTCCAGCTTTTCTTCAAACCATTGCAAATGTTCTGCTGTGACCCAGATTGGTTGGAAGTAGAGAATAGCCCTATTTGGGGGCTTTAGGGAATGATGGTTATGAGATCATGAAATTTTTCTAGAAATGTGAGCTTTCTCAAGAGATGTTGCCTTTGCCCTGAAAACAGCTGTGTTTTTCAGTGTCTCATCATTGGAGCTGGCCCTTGTGGTCTCCGCACAGCCATCGACTTATCCTTACTGGGAGCTAAGGTAGTTGTTATTGAGAAACGAGATGCCTTCTCCCGCAACAATGTCTTGCATCTCTGGCCATTCACCATACATGATCTGCGCGGTTTGGGTGCCAAGAAATTCTATGGCAAGTTCTGTGCTGGAGCCATTGACCATATCAGTAAGTAAATCCAGTTCTTTTAATATCTGTTGTATAGAAACACACTCTTCTTGGAGTCAAAATACCTTCCATGTGTGGTTCTGTAACCTAGAATGATTTAACTACAAGGAATTTAGCTTAGGAATTTCTAAGTTAGGTCTTGGACTCTTATTTAGCATTTCTACTGGTAGGATAGACTTGGGGCCAGGTTAGGAAATATGATGAACAGTGTAGGCCTTGACCAGACTCTGGTGGTTCTTAGTCCAGTAGAAGCAGAGCAAAGCATGTTGTTCTTTGGAATGTGATATGAAAGATGCTATACTAGTATAAGAACAAAATGCTGTGGGGACACAGGTCTGGGGAAACCACAGTTGTAGAAGAAACAGACTCCTAGTTTGGTGAATGGCACGTTGATAGTGCGAGTTCTTTGGTTAGATGATTCTCATGAGGTTTACAGCATAGGGAGGTCTTGCTATACTCTTATCATATTCAAGCTTTGAAGTAAATAAATACAAGTTAATGCAGATGGCGATTTTGTTTTCATGACTGTATATGTTCATGAAAATAGTGTCTACATTATGAGGTTAAAGTATGATCATTGTTCCAGATAAACCTTGTCAAATAACTTTTGTTCTGAGCTCCTTCAGATGTGTCCTGTAAATACAGTCAACTTTTAAAGTTTGAAGTGGCTGTGCCAGTTTATCAAACACTGGCCACAGCTGCCACATTCTCTAGGCAGAAGAAGCACTCTTTTGGGCTGTAATGTTTAAAGCATCTTGGAACCCAGTTGTTTGCAAATATAAAATGTGTGCTAGCATAGGATTTAATGAGTTGCTGCATGTGTGACTCTGAAGGAGGCAGGTTGTAAAACGTGGGGAAAATAATCAAATGATCTAAAGGAGGATCTGCATGTAGATCTGGTTTTAAGAGAGAACCAGTGGTTATTCATTCAGTGGATTTGTCTGCCTTATGTGTGGCAGGATATGTCTTAGAGATGGGTCCTAGATTTTTATCTCGTGTGTCTGGCATCTGGCAGGTACTTGCTGAATGTTAACCATTTGTATGCCATAAGCGTCTATAGACACAGCAGGGAACCTTTTTTAACTAAAGTTAAAATATCATGGCAGTTGACTGGTTAAATAAATAAATCTCACTAGGATAATGAGCAAGATTTTCATTCATTTTGAACCTTAATTTCTGCAACTATAGACCAGTAGAGGGCAGAAGAATGTTAAGAGACTACTAAGCTTGCATTGAAGTTCCCCTTCTCACCTTGCAAGCATCTGTGGAGATCAGTAAGGTAATAAGATGAAGGAGAACTGTCTGAAATCCCAGGAAGTAGTACAGCCCCCTTTGAATCTAACTGGAAAGCATACATGTGGGTGCACATCTTCTGCCTCTTCTGGTAACTATTGTAGGTTCTGTAAGTATTGTAGGTTTTGCTAAATAATTGTGGCTCTAACTGAATCAGGAGAGCATGGAAATGAGTCTCCTGTTGGCCACAAAAATTTCATGTTATCTCAGGACTTTTGCTTGTTTTAAATATCTTATCCAAGAGGTGGGAGTGCGTTTGTGTGTCTCTCTGGAACATTTCTTGCCCTGAGTAAAGAAAGAAGCTATGGAACATGACTTGGAAAATGTCTCCTGTTATAGGAAGCATTGAGAATCTGGATAAACTCTGCATTAGGTGGACAGGTGGAAACCTGAGCAGTGACTGCTAACTGGTATTCTTTTTTCAATGTGTCCTAACTTGTATTATCTTTTTGTTTACCCAGGTATCCGTCAGCTTCAACTAATACTTTTGAAAGTAGCATTGATCCTAGGCATTGAAATTCATGTTAACGTAGAATTCCAAGGACTTGTACACCCTCCTGAGGACCAAGAAAATGAACGTGAGTTGAATTGGAAAAGGGAGGAGTAGGGATAAAAGGGCATCAAATGGGTGAGAAAAGATGAGATCAAAGCAGAAAACTATAGGAATCTGTGGGTTGTTTTCGGAACTAGTTAAAAAGGGCTTGTCTATTTGTATAGCTAGTATTTTTTGAGGAACTTTTGATTTAATGAAGAGGCCTTTGAAATAGGATTAGATGTTGCAGGCACTTATATTCATTATAGAAAATTTTATGGTGGGAATGTTCCTGAGGGGTCTTTCTTTCTGTGGTTTGTACCCCATGCTTTTAAATCTACTGTTTTTGGTTTGATGTCTGCCTACCTGACTATCTTGAAATGTCTTAGATGTATTAATATGATCTAAGTGACAACCTTCAATTTTACTTTGGTCTACAGGGATAGGTTGGCGGGCACTGGTGCACCCTAAAACCCATCCTGTGTCAGAGTATGAATTTGAAGTGATCATTGGAGGGGATGGCCGTAGGAACACCTTGGAAGGTATTGATCGTTGTTCCTTTTCCTGGTTTATTACAGAGTGAAGGGTGACTTTTTCCAAACCCTGGGGTGAGAATTTGTGTCGAGAGGATCTACATATATGTACTACCTACTCTAATTTAATGGCAGCCCCAGCCTTCCCTAGCCAATTGGTACTTGGTTTACTTGTTACAGAGTACTCTTGTAAGGGTACTAAGAGACAAGCTATACTTTGAGCAGTTGGCTCTACAGAATTTAAATCTCAGTTTAATAAAAAGATGGCTTCCCTTAAAAAAAAAAAAAAAAAAAAAAGGAATTCCTAGTATTGAGTAACATTCTGGTTAGTCAGTTTCAAAATTTTTGTTAGTGTGTAGGAGACTTTGACTTCTTTTCTGGATTGTTATAGTCTTTGATGGAAAAACACCTTATTTTCACGTTGAGAAGAGCTGCCCTAAAATTTTTCCATTGACTTTTATCACTTATGTTCCCAAATGTCATCATCAATACCTCCTTCCTGTTTGAAGTGATCTTACTTCCTCTCTAGCCAACTGCTGCCACATCTGAAAATTTCTTTCCTTCCAGGATTTCGTCGGAAAGAATTTCGAGGCAAACTGGCCATTGCCATTACAGCAAATTTTATCAACCGAAATACAACAGCAGAAGCCAAAGTGGAAGAGATCAGTGGAGTGGCTTTCATATTTAACCAAAAATTTTTCCAGGAGCTCAGGGAAGCAACCGGTTGGTATCAGTATCTTGAAAGCAATAAGAATAGAAGTTTAAATAATTACTTGTGGCTTTCTCTTGGATAGTTTGCTGGGGTGTTTGGTCATTGGTGTTACTGTGTCATTAATCCATTGCTCTTTCCTCACTTCCATGCTTTCTTCTGTGTGTAATGCTTTCCATATCACTGATTGCTATTCTAATGTTGTTTATCCTTATCATAGGGACTGGGATACTCTGAATTGGGTTTTTACTATATTTGTGTGTTTGTTTTTAAGTGTTCATGCTGTCTTTTACCAACTCTTCTCCTACCCCTTCCTCTATACTGTGGCTCTAAGTGATGGTGTTTAATGCAGTAACCTATTGGCTGGTAGTTCTCTGGTTTACTGAGAACCTGACTTTAGGCACTGAGTGTACTACTTTGTCTACTAAGTTCTACTTTGATCTTGAAGTAAATCACATGCTCGATAGGAATGAAATTTTTATATGATAGCTTTTGAATACCTTAACTTAAATGTTTGATGCAACAAAAATGTACAGCAGATTCTAATTCTCTGTTTTCTAGAACATGATTTCTTTCCATTACATCTATTTTTTTTTTTTAGTTTAATTGAAATTAAAAGCCAATAGTTCACTCTGTGTTTCCAGGTATCCAGTTGTCTGTCCTGTTCTTGAGATTCCCCCAGTTGCCTTGATGACTATAAAAGAGGCTTAACCCGACCATCTTACTAAGGATTAATTTTTCTTTTTCTTTCAATCTTTATATATTTCTGCTTACTATTGATCATTGTTTTTAGGATAACTTAGAGTGTCGAGTTAACAGAGCAGTCCAAGGATAAACAAAGTTCCCCCTTTTTTTATTTTTTTCAAGAAGTGAGAATCTAGGCTCAGACATCTTTTTTACTTTCTCTTTCCCTGCCTGGAGTTTTACAACCCTGGTCTCTGTGGACCCATGTACAATCTCTCTGGCTGCCCTAATATACCTTCAACATTTTTGTTTTGCAGGTATCGATTTGGAGAACATCGTCTACTACAAAGATGACACGCACTATTTTGTTATGACGGCCAAAAAGCAGAGCTTACTGGACAAAGGGGTGATACTGCATGTAAGTGATAAATTTCTTTTAAACCTCTTTTTATGTTGTACTGGTTAGTATGATCACCAAGCAAAAAAATTTTATTGTCAGATGAGTTTTCCTGCAAGGGAATGGAAACTAGCCCTAACTCATCTCCTGGTAACATGTATTCTAATATTTTTTAGTTAAACTTAAAAAAATACTGTTTATTATGTAAATTTTCTAATATAAACAAAAGTACAGAAGATCATCTGATGAACCCCCATGTACCCATTATCTGGCTTTCAGAATTATCAACACATAACCAATATTGTTTCTCTAGAGGCCTGCAGCATGAAATTCATGCACTGGAGGGGGTGTCCCTCAGTTCAGCCTGCACCCTCTCCAATCTGGGACCCCTCAGGGGATATCCAACTGCCGGTTTGGGCCCAATCCTGTATTTGGGCCTGATCCCTATAGGATCCAGTTTGGGCCCAAACCTAAGGTGACCAGACGTCCTGCTTTTGGCTGGACAGTCCCGATTTTTAACAATTTGTCCCGTGTCTCACGGTGTTTTTTAAAAAGTCCCAATTTTTGGAAAGAATCTTTTAAATCTTTTGGACTTTTTAAAACACTGCGGGACACAGGACAAATTGTTAAAAATTGGGACTGTCCCGTCAAAAGTGGGATGTCTGGTCACCTTACCCAAACTGGAATTAGACATCCCTCTCACAATCCGGAATCCGGGACTGCTGGTTCCCAACCTCTCGCCTGCCTGCCAGCCTGATCACCCCTAACTGCTCCCCTGCTGGCCTGATTGATGCTTAACTGTTCCCCTGATGGCCTGATTTCCCCCAACTGCCCTCCCTTCCTGGCCTGATGGCCCCCAACAACTCTCCCCTGCTGGCCCGATGGCCCCCAACTGCCCTCCCTGACATGGTCGCCCCAACTGCCCTCCCCTGCCAGCCATCTTGTGGTGGCTATTTTGTGGCAACATTGTGCGACACCACCTAGGCTTTTATTATAGAGGATTCCTAGAAGGAATTAACCCATTCCTGCAATTAGTTTGTTCCAAAACAAATCTCAGATAATTCAGGAATAAATATTCAGTTTAATTTTAGGTGATTTGACTTGTGGTTCTAGAGAATGACATTCCCTGAGATGATGATCTGAATAAGAAATCAGAAAATCACAGGGTAGAGAGTTCCTTAAGGAGAATTTCTTAAGTCTGATTTGGTCTCAATGTGAGAATTACTATCCCCACATGTGCAATTCCCACCTCAGACTCATGGCTGAATTTCAGAGTATCCTCTGACTGCAGGATACTAATGACTCTGGTCACTTTTATCTGAAGTATGCTTTATCTGAGAGCAGTAATAGGGGTGAACATATGAACGTGTACCTGTAGTACAGCCTCTTTCTACTTGTTACCTTGTATCTGCTTCTCAACTTTGTGGTCCTTTATGTCTATAAGGAGAAACAGGACCAAGCAATGTGTGCAGCTCATTCTGCCAAGAGCATAAACAAGATGTATTTGAATGTTTTATCAATAAGAAATAGGCAGTGTGCCCATTGGTATTAGTCGAAATTATGTAGAAACTATCTGGAATGCCAATACTCTGTTTACTCTTCCTTTTTATATTTTTTTTAGAGGGCAAGAGCCATCCCTGTGTGTGCGTTGCCAAATACTAAGTTCATTCTGACCACTTACTTAATGGTGAACAGTTTCAAGGGCCAACTTGAGTATTTGTGTTTTGGCTTTTAACATCTTGTAGTGGTAGCTGAAAGTACCATCAGGGGCACTTGGAAACCATAGGCCCCATTTTAGGAGAATAAAGATTTGGCTCAGTATGCCAGTAACCTCCAAAATAGAAAAGTAATTTTTTCAGCCCTTTATGTGGAAAATCCCTTTTCTCTCATTATTGTTTTCCTTTTTGGGGGTTCTATAGAGCCTTTCAGAATCTTATTATTAATTTTTAAACTTCTCTTCCATTCTGAATATATTTCTTCCCAGTCTCCTGGATTGCTATTGCTTCCACCTCCAAAACCTTTTGGCACTGAAGCTTTGAGCTCTTCCTTAGTGTTTGTGGAATTTATGCAAGTTAAGAGTCTCATATGGTCCCAGTTGCCAAAAACTATTTGCTATCCAGAAGGTAATAATTGCTGATAGTAACAAACTATAAAGTGCTTTTTCAGTTTACCATACTATCACTTAAGTTATCTTATTTAGTATTCAGAATAGCTGTGAAGTGGATTTGACTCTATCAAAGAAGTAGTAATTTGCTCTAAGTATATGGAAAAGCCAGCACTAGGCAGCAAGGCCTGGTCTCTTATAGAAACAGCCTTCCCCATTCCCCCCCCCCCCCTTTTTTTAAAAAAAAATTCTTTGTTGACTAAGGTCAATATTTGATCCTGCTTCTCAATCTTGTGGTCCTTATGCCCGCTTTACCCTATTCCCACCCCCCTGCTCATGCCCTCCCCCACACACACACCCCCAGTGTCTGTGTCCATTGTGTAAGGTTATTCGTATGCATACAAATCCTTTGGTTGATCTCTCCTCCTTACCTTCACCCTCCCCTACCTTCCCTCTGAGGTTTGATGGTCTGATCAATGCTTCTCTTTCTCTGGATCTGTTTTTGTTCATCAGTTTATGTTTCTCTGACTGACTTATTTCGCTTAGCAGAATGCTCTCCAGTTCCATCCATGCTGTTGGAAATGGTAGGAGATCCTTCCTTTTTATGGCAGCATAGTATTCCATTGTGTACATGTACCACTGTTTTTAATCCACTCACCTGCTGGTGGGTACTTAGGCTGTTTCCAAATATTAGCTATTGTAGATTGTGCTGCTATGAACTGGGGGTGCATATATATCTTTTCTGATTGATGTTTCTAGTTTCTTAGGATATATTCTTAGAAGTGGGACTACTGGGTCAAATAGGAGTTCCATTTTCTGTTTTTTGAGGAAACTCCATACTGTTCTCCACAGTGCCTGCACCAGTCTGCATTACCACCAGTAGTGCACGAGGGTTCTTTTTTTTGTCCGCGTCCTTGCCAGCCCTTGTCATTTGTTGATTTGTTGATGTTGGCTATTTTGACAGGTGTGAGATGGTACCTCATTGCCATTTTGATTTACATCTCTTGGATGATTAGTGACTTTGAGCATGTTTTCATGTCTCGTCCTTCTGTATGTCCTCTTTCGAAAACTATCTAAGTCCATTGCCCATTTTTTGATTGGGTCATTTATCTTCTTTTTGTTAAGTTGTATGAGTTCCCTATAAACGTTAAAGATTAAACCCTTATCAGATATAAGATTGGCAAATATGTTCTCTCATGCTGTGGGCTTTCTTTTTTCTTTTGCTGTACAGAAGCTTATTTTGATGTAGTCCCATTTGTTTATTTTTTCTTCACTTTCCATTGCCCTAAGAGCTATATCGTCGAAGATACTGCTTTGGCATATGTCTGAGATTTTGCTGCCTGTGGATTCTTCTAAGATTTTTATGGTTTCACGTCTTATGTTTAGGTCCTGTATCTATTTTGCGTTTCTTTTTTTTTTTTTTTTTTTGCATGTATCTCTCTAATTTTCCCAGCATCATTTGTTAAAGACACTGCCTTGATTTCATTGTATGCTCTTGCCTCTTTTGTCAAATATTAATTGAGCAAAGTGGTTTGGGTGAATTTCTGGGTTCTCTATTCTATTCCATTGGTCTATATATCTGTTCTTGTGCCAAAATCAGGCAGTTTTGAGAACAGTGACTTGTAATATAGCTTGATATCTGTTTTTGAGATACCTCCTACTTTGTTCTTCTTTCTCAGGATTGCTGCAGCTATTTGGGGTCTTTTTTTTATTCTAGATGAGTTTTTGGAAAGTTTGTTCTAGGTCTGTGAAATCTGCCATTGGTATTTCAATGGAGAATGCTTTGAATCTGTAGATTGCTTTGGGTAGTATGGACATTTTAATGATGTTGATTCTACCAATCCATGAACACGGTATGTTCTTCTTTTTTTCAGCGTCCTGTAGTTTTCTGAGTACAGATTTTTTACCTTCATTGAGTTTACTCCTAGGTATCTGTATATTTTTGTTGTAATAATAAATGGGATTATTATTTTAATCACTCTTCCTGTAAGTTCACTATTGGTGTATAAAAATGTCATAGATTTCTGGGCATTAATTTTGTATCCTGCTACATTGCCTAATACATTTATTAAGTCTAATAGTTTTTTGATGGAATCTTTAGGGTTTTTCACCTGCAAATAATGACAGTTTTACTTCTTTTCCAATTTGGATGCCTTTTATTTCTTCTTCTTGTCTAATCACTATGGCTAGCACTTCCAGTACTATGTTGAACAGGAGTTGTGAAAAGTGGGCATCCCTGTCTTGTTTTTGTTCTTAGGGGAAATGGTTTTAGTTTTTGCCCATTGAGCATGATGTTGGCTGTAGGTTTGTCATATAAAGCTTTTATTATGTTGAAGAATGATCCCTGTATTCCCACTTAGCCTTCCCCTTTTTTTTTTTAATATATATGTAAAAGACTTGTTTTGGAATATGAAAGCACTTTAGGGGAATAAGAAAAGTGGTGAAAAACTAGGTTATGTCCGATATGTGTAGTGTGGCTTGAGCTAGCTAGACTTGTACCTAGACTTTTCCACCGAGCCTCTTCCCTCTCTGGAGCTAGGACTATGCCGACACAGAGCTCTTGCTTTCCCGGGAGAATGTGGACCAAGAGGCTCTGCTGAACTATGCCAGGGAAGCAGCAGACTTCTCCACCCAGCAGCAGCTACCATCTCTGGATTTTGCCATCAATCACTATGGACAGCCTGATGTGGCCATGTTCGACTTCACTTGTATGTATGCCTCTGAGAATGCTGCCTTGGTGCGAGAGCAGAATGGACACCAGTTACTAGTGGCTCTGGTTGGGGACAGCCTCCTGGAGGTGAGTATTAAGGATAACAGCACTTAATAGTAGTTGGAAATAAATCTAGGTGCTTTGATTGTGGAGTGTCTACAACATTATACCATGTAGATGAACTCCCTGTAGGAGTTATATTTTCTGATATATAGGGAAGCATCACAGGCCACAGAGAATCCAGACTTGCTAAGTAGCAATGCAACATCCTTGATTTGCCCTTCTACCAATTTATGAAGCAGAGAAGTCCAGTATCTGAACAGTTGCCAAAGACTACCGTATTTTCCGGCATATAAGACGACCCCCTAATTTTACAGTTAAAACATAGTTTTAGGCCTATATTTGCTGTATAAGACTACCCCCCACTTCCGAGGCAACACCAGTTCTTTTTTTAATAGACTGCCTCTCTGACTCTGGCCAATCTGAGCAGGCTTTTTACTAGAACACAGTGTAGCTTTGGGTACAGAACATGTATAATTTGCATGGATAAAAAGCCTGCTTCGATTGGCTGAATTAGAGAGGCGGTCTATTAAAAAAAGAACTGGTGTTGCCTCGGAAGTGGGGGGTAGTCTTATACAGCAAATATAGGCCTAAACCTATGTTTTAACTGTAAAATTAGGGGGTCGTCTTATACGCCCGGTTGTTTTATATGCCGGACAATATGGTACTTTCAATAGCAATCTCTTTCTTAGTTCTTTAGTATAGTTTCTCTCTTTTAAAATATAAATTATTTTAATTATTTGTTTTATATCTCCTTGGTAGCCTTTCTGGCCAATGGGAACAGGAATTGCCCGGGGCTTTCTAGCTGCCATGGACTCCGCCTGGATGGTACGAAGTTGGTCTTTAGGAACAAGTCCCTTAGAAGTCCTGGCAGAGAGGTAATGGGAAGTAACCAAGAGTCCTTTTGTGAGAAAAAAAACTGGGAGTGATGAGTGGTTTGCTCTTAAGACAGAACACAAATTCATTCTTCTTTCTATCTCTCTGTTTTAATTAAAGATGTTTTCTTATTCAAGAGAGGAAAGACAAGATATTTATTCAAGAAATTGTAAAATAAAAAGATTATTTAAGTGTTTTTCTCTTATCCCTGTTCAAACTAAATTTGTTGCAGACTAATGGTATCTGAATCTTTTTATATCATTGAAGGATGGTATCTGTGTCCTTTATGACAATCACACAAACAAATACATAAAAATAGTACATTAAATCCTCTCCTTAAATTAGAAAGATGTAAATTAATGAAATCAGCGTGGTACTAGTGATACAGAATTTTTGGACTGGAAGCCAGACACTTTGTCTGCCTGAATCAAAGAATTAATCCACCGACAGAAAGTGGTATAGCAAAGGTGGAGATTTATTGAAGAACAAGTACAGACTCTCACATGGGGAGAGGGAAAGAGTCCCACATAATGGACTCCCACTGAGTTCCTTTTCCCTATGGCTTATAAAGACTGCAGATCCTGGTGCCTTGATATTCCCTCTGATTGGTCACTATTCCCTTAGATTGGTTACTATGGTAACGCCTGGGCTCAGAGGTTAAACCTCACATGTCCCATGTGAGGTTCTCCTCCCCTTCTTCCTTGTTGTTTTTCCATTCCCTTTGGGCTTTCTTCTTCTCCCTCTGAATAAATGGCTTCCTTCTCTTTATTTTGTAAATATAGACCTTTTGCTGTTCACAGCTTTATCGTTCTATGGAAATGTACCTGTTGCAGCTTTCCAGCTCCTCCATTCTATGGAAATGTACCTTCCTGCTGCTCTGCAGCCTGGTGTTTTCCTCCATGGTCCCCTTAATTTCCAAAATTTCTAAAATTTCCTAAATCTTTCATATTTTATCCCTAAATTTCCTCTTTCAATAGAGGACATACTCAAATAAGAGTTGAGATTAAAAGTGACTTTGAATTCAAAGGAAGATACCAAGCTGCTTGTAAACATTTCTCATGTTTTCAAATGTCAGATATTTTGAAGCAGATTATTTAAAATAAGGTAAGAATCCTGGGATTTGCTGATAAAAGTACAAATACCTTAACCTGAAAAACTAGAGAAACAAGATTTCCTGGATGAAATTGGTGGTTGATGTCATTTTTAGTCTGTTACTTAAAGCACTCTGGGTAATTAGATGACAAGTTCTTTTTTCATCTGTGATTCTCTTACATATTAAATATTGCCAAACTTGCAAAAACAAAACAGTAAATTATTTGCCTTTTAAATTAAGGTCAAACGTTTTTATCTCTGCCTACAGCAATGTTTTAGCTGTTCTCGTTGGCCCTTAACCAGGCATGTGGAATCACTGAGTGAGTGGGAATGGGAAGGAAGAGCTGATGTAGGATTGGAGGAAACCAGTCAAGGATGAAGATTTATCATCCTTCAGATAATTTGGGGATTGTCAAAAAATAGAAATAGTCTCAAAGGAGAAGGAGATGTTCGTGATGCTTGTCATGCCCTGAGTATATTGCTGTGTTATTGCAGGGAAAGCATTTATAGGTTGCTGCCTCAGACAACCCCTGAGAATGTGAGTAAAAATTTCAGCCAATACAGCATAGACCCTGTCACCAGATATCCCAATATTAACATCAACTTTCTCCGGCCAACCCAGGTAAGTGTCTTCTAGTCAGTGATCTATATCTGGGTCCTTTGAAATTTGCTTATTAATAACAAACATATAGGCAACCTTTTCCTCGAGTAGGTTCATGTAGATGTCTCTCTGATTTGGTTGAAGTACATATTATTTCCCATCAATAAATTGAGCAGTTAAGGCAGAGAGTTGTTGGATAACTTGCCAGAAGATCAAACATGACAAAAATTATGGACCCAGGGCTTTATTCCAGGTCTCCTGATTCAAATTGTATCTTGTAGGGAAAGAGTACTTGTTCACTAGTGAGGAAATGTGACTTCCACTTGCATTATTACCAACAATTTCTTGTAACTTGGACTGGTTATTTCACTTTCTCTGTGTACCAATAATTCCATAAGGGACATATGCACAGGTGACCTATGGTGCCTCAGCCAGAAATCTGAAACGTACAACCCAAGGTACTTAATAATCCACCGAGCATAAATTATACAGGAGACAAACATGCAATGCACAAATCACTCACGGTTTATTTACCAGAATCCTGGTGGGTTCCAGACCTCAACAGGCCAACCGGGGATACACACACACACACACACACACACACACGGTTCACGGAGGATGTTGCAGCTGTGGCTCCGCTTTAGTTGAGGCCTCTCGCGATGGTTAACGATCCAAGGCTCATGGTATGGGGCTCACGGCTTGGGCAGAGCTTTGACAGGTGCAGGTGGAGAAAGTGGAGAGCGACCGTCTGTGGAAGAGCAGAAGGAGCATCTCTGATCTTCTCTGGAGCTTGCTCTTTTTATGTGTCTTCAGTGCTCAGATGTGTCTTCAGTGTGTCTTATCAGTGGGTCCCAGGAGCCTTGCTATCTGGTCTTATATAAGGGGTACAGATCACTTTATTATTTTCTACATACAGGCCACTCAAGGGGGCTTATCAATTTGTTTACATTACATTCCATATTTTCAGATATCACACTTCAATTCCACACTTTAATAATTATTCTATATTACATTTTATCCTTATTACTATTGCTATAACACTGCAAACCTCAGTTTCTTTTATTTGTAAAGTTAAAGTGATCATCCCTGCTACTCACAGACAGTATCATTGTGAGGACAACTGGGATTATTAGCTGGAAAGAACTTTAAAAGATAAGACACTTGCTACAATTAAAAGTTATTGTTGGTCATTTTTGTACTGAGTTATTTCTCAGAATATCTTATGCCTTATAATTACATTAAGAATGACATAGTTTAGACAGACGTTATGATAATTTATAGAGCAGAGTTATCCCAAAGAGCCCATCAGTTTTTCGAAAATATTCTGTTCAACATATTTGCCAGTTTTCTAGTGTAATTGTTTAGTCATTAACACTGTGCAAAAAAAAAAATCCATGTATAAAAGAATATGTACTTTATAATTTCATTTACATAAAGTTCAAAAACAAGCAAAATTAATCCTTGGTGATAGAAGTCAGAATAGTGGTCACCTTTGGGATCAGAATACTGACTGCAAGCCTGGAGATGTTGTAAAGTTTGATCTGGGTTGTTATATGGGTACTGGAGTCTGGGTGCACAAATTCATGGGGTCCCTCAGTGTGGCCTGTGGGATGGGGCCAAAACCTGCTCTCCAACATCCCCAGAGGGGTACTGGATTGTGAGAGGGTGCAGGTCAGGTCCAGGGACCCCACCAGTGGGCCAGGAGGAACCAGGGAGGGCTCCAGAGCCTGTCTTGCTCAGTCCAGATTGGCTGGACCCCAGCAACAGGCTAACCTACCAGTTGGAGCGTCTGCCCCCTGGTGGTCAGTGCACATCATAGCAAGTGGTTGACCAGTCAGCTCTCTGCCCCATGGTGGTCAGTGCATGACATCACAAGAAGTCGAGCTGACTTAGCATATCATTAGCATATTATGCTTTGATTGGTTGAACGGATGGCTAGACACTTAGCATATTAGGCTTTTATTATATAGGACATTTATTTACAAAAATGCATCATTTTACACTATGTATTATCAATTAAAAAGTAGATTTTGTCCAGCCAGTTTGGCTCAGTGGTTGAGCGTAGAGTGAACCAAGAGATCACAGTTCAATTCCAGGTCAGGGCACATTCCAAGGTTGTAGGCTTGATCCCCAGTAGGGGGCATGCAGCAGGCAGCTGATCGATGATTCTGTCCATTCATTGATGTTTGTCTCTCCTGAAATCAATAAAAAAAAAATTTTAAGTAAAATTTTTTTTGAAAATAGGTCCAACAAAAACTATCAAAAGGACTTCTATAGCTGAGTAGTGAATTTTTAGCACAACTTATGTATTTATTTATATGTAACCTAGGTCATCATCATAACTTTTATCTAAACTTTGCCCAGTCTGCTATTACAGACTTTCATCTGTCATTCTCTTCTCAGGTGGGAATTTGTTACTTGTTTTATTTTCCTTCTTTACAACGTTTTACATTTCTGCCAGGTGCGCCATTTATATGATACTGGAGAAACGAAAGATATTCATCTGGAAATGGAGAACCTGGTGAATTCCCAAACTATCCCAAAGTTGACTCGCAATGGTGAGTTCTGATAATGCCCTTTTGAACCTATCCAGAAACATCTGTAATTTATTGAGCTCTTAGTGTACATAGTACTGCATAAGGCAGTGGTTCTCAATCAGACGTGATTTTTCCCCTTAAAGGACATTTGGTAGTTTCTGGGGACATTTTTTAATGTCTTGAGTTGAAAAGGATGTTACTAGCATCCAAGGATACAGCTAAACCTCCTAATGTACACAAATCAGCTCTCAGCCAAAAATATCAGTTGTGTCAAGGTTAAGAAACCTTAATCTAAGGTATTATGAGGAAATAAAAAGAAATCAGATAGAGATGCTATTGATAAAAAGAAAAGGGCAGCATGTGGGTACATACACATGCCAGCTAAGGTTTTGGGGGTAAGGCTTTATGGAAGAAATAGCGGCATTTTAATTGAGTACTATGATATTGCCAATGAAAAGTTCAAGGCGCAGGAAACGGGAGTTGGAGACCAAGACACATTAAAGGGGAGGTTTATTCCACAGTAACAAGTGAGATTCATTATGGAGGAGGTAGAGAATTGGAGGAGGGGGAGGAGGAGAATGAGGGACTCAACTGGGCTGCCTCTGCAGACGGAGAGTGGTGGGATGGGGAGGAGGGGGTGAAAAACAGCGGCACTGGAGGGGCTGAGATGGCCTCTTCAGGGAACAGAAAGGGTTGGGCCCAAGGATGAATGGGAAGGGATGGGCGCCAGGGCAGTCGGCACGCTCTGATTGGAGGTTCAATGTCTCAGTGATGTCTCGGCTGCAGACTCTGGTAAAGTCATAACTCCACCCACCAGTTGGGGTGGAGGGACCTCTTAGCCAGGATACAGTGACAGAAATAAAGGCCATTTCATATTTTGTGTGTATTGTGGACCCCTGAAGATTTGTTTTAAAGGAGAGTGATGTGAGTATACCTCTACATGTAAGATGGCATGGAGAAGGCAAATCGCATTGTAATAGTCAGCTAACAGTTGTAAAGGCCTAATTATGGTATGGATATTGAGGATGGAAACAGGACAGTGGACCATAATTAGTCGAAATATCACTTTAGGGTCAGGTACAACTGGGTCCCAGTCCAATCTTTGCCATTTGTGAAGTGTGTGGTAATGAGCAGGTTATATAGTATATGAACTTCAGTTCCTTGTCTATGAAATAAAGGTAACAAACACCTACCTTGCATTATGGTCATAAGAATTTTATGATATGCATAGTTGGTTTATCATGATGCCTGACAACTGTGTTCTTCCTACCTTCAATAATTTTTCAAACTGATATGTGTGGTACAAAGAGGATCCCATATTAATGCTACCAAGTGACAACACTTTCATTAATATTTTTTTTGTTCTTTTAGAGTCTGTACCTCGTTCTAGCAAACTGCTTTGTTGGTGCCAAAGGCAGACAGATGGCTACTCAGGAGTCAATGTGACAGATCTCACTATGTCTTGGAAAAGTGGTCTGGCCCTATGTGCAATTATCCATAGATATCGCCCTGATCTGATGTAAGTTGTGACCAGACTTTCTGTTTCATTTTATATTCCCTAAGGATCTTACAGTACCCTGCTATCAAGTAGCCAAATTTGTACTTTTTTCCTAGAACAAAATGCATAGTAAGATACTTTCTCTATAAAGCAATGATTAATTTAGACTTAATTACATTGAAAACTCTGAATGTTAAGTATTATGTAGTTCAACAAAGAAACGATTAGCTGTGTTTTTAACAGCACTCAAAAGGTCAAAAATTGGTTTTAACACCTACCTGAGTGTATTAACTTTACATAATGGAAAACTCTGTTTACTGGCCACAGGTTGAACTCTTCATTTCAGCCAACTGTCTCTCAAATGTTATTGGTCATAAGGAAAATCTGGTTAGAACATTTGGCTGGCTGATGGCAAATGTGTCAGGCACTACCAACAAAACAATTAGTGCATCCCAGCTTTATAATGGTTCATTCGTATTCTCTTATGTTAAGGATTGCACTTCCTGCTAAGATACTTTGTCAGTCCTACAAAACTCAGATCATCTCACCCACCTACACCAGTAATATCTCCCTATTTTTACCATTCTTGATTCATCCAAGTGCAAAATCAGTACAACAGGATGACCCCAAGTCACCTGTGGATACTAGTGCACTCAGGTTTCTACCATGGGCATTCCCCCAAACAAGAATATTTGGAAACAGAAGCAGAGCATTTGAATTATTTTGGCTGCCTATTCTTTTATAAGGTTCACTTAAAGGCCCAATTTTGGTGAGTTTATTTTAAGAATTCCTTAAGAAATCATAAAGGACCTAGTTCCTATTTATATTGGGTTATGAGTTAATGAGGCAAGAGCTGTAAAAATAGCCTTTGTATAATGTGATTTAGGAATGGGGATTTCTGATTGGTTTGGATAAAAGTAAGTGACCTCTATGATCTTCTACCTTAGTTTACGCACAGATGACAGAAGGGCTTACCCCACCAGGAAAAAGGAAAAGAAGGGGGTGTGAAGGTGTAAGATTGGAGTCGCTCAAGGATTTTCTAAGTGTACTGGTTAATCAGATTTTTTTCAATAGATGGAGTTACACATATGTTGATATATATGTGATTTGATATGTATGCTATTTTGTTGTAATGACAAGTTTCAAAACTTCATATGTCAAATTTTCTGAAGGTGTTAACATCATAAATATTTTTATGCTTAAAAATATTGAATTTTGTGCCCAAAAAAAGAGTATTTGCGGGAAGTTTTAATTCGTTACTTTATTTTGAAGAAAAGTGCTGCTGAAGCTTATGGTGAACATGCTCCATCTCAAGATACTCGTGAATGCTGGTTTAAACACTTTAAAAGTGGTGATTTCTATGTGAAAGACAAAGTATGTCTAAGTCAACCGAAAAAGTTTGAAGACAACAATTACAAGCATTGTTGGATGAAGATGCATGTTAAATTCAAAAACAACTTGCAGAAAGATTAAACATTGCTCAGAAAATAATTTCAGATTGTTTACATCAATAGGAAAGATTTTAAAGGAAGGAAAATGGGGTGCCACATCAACTGAACGAAAGACAAATGGAAAACCAAAAAGTCATCAGTAAAATGTTGCTTCAATAGCACAAAAGAAAGTAATTTTTTGCATCAACTTGTGACTGGCGATGAAAAGTAGATTTATTTTGAGAATCACAAATGCACAAAATCATGGGTTGATCCAGGTCAACCATCAACATCTACTATAAGGCCAAATTGCTTTGGAAAGAAGACAATGCTCTGCATTTGGTGCAATCAGGAAGGTGTGGTGTATTATGAGCTACTAAAACCAGGTGAAACCGTTAATACTGATCGCTACCAATAACAAATAATCAATTTAACCATGCTTTGATCATGAAAAGGCCAGAATGTGCCAGAGGACATGGCAAAGTAGTTTTGCTTCATGATGATGCACTGTCACACAGTTTAAAACTAGTAAAAGACACGTCAAAAGATCTTGCCTTAGGGGAGATCTAAGATGTCGGCGTACATAAACATCTGAACTTCTGCCGTGCACAACAATTTCAAAATTAAAACTAGCCAAAATCGGCTTGGCTCAGTGGATAGAGCATTGGCCTGCGGACTGGAAGGTCCCGAGTTCGATTCCGATCAACAGCATGTACATCGGTGAGGGCACATCCCCAGTAGGGGGTGTGCAAGAGGCAGCTGATCGATGATTCTCTCTCATCGATGTTTCTAACTAGCCCTCTCTCTTCCTCTCTGTAAAAAATAAATAAAATATATTTTTTTTAAAAAGAAAAACAGCTAAAACTAAAAGACAAAATGTCTATCACCCAGAACCACGTGAAAGCTAGCTGAGTGGAAGTTCTACAACGGAAAGAGAAAAGAACATTCAGTGCATAAACGCTGAAAAACTGAGGTATAGGGGCGCGCATGATACATCTGAGGCGGTTCCTGGCTGGCGGAGGGCGTTGCTTTCTTCAACCCAAAGAGAGATAAGCTCCCAATCTCTCTGAAATCCAGTTTCTGGGGAGAAGCTAGACTGTTTGCCATCGGGTCGGAAAGTGAGGGTGGCTTGCTTGCAGAGCTGTGCACAGGAATAATTGTTTGCTGTGCTGGGGCTCAAGACACGGGGACGCGGTCAGAGAGGCAGAGACTGTGGATGGGCAGCCATCGCTATTGACCATGCTTCAACCTAGTGATGCCCTGAGCTCTGCCCCGCACAATCTACAAACAAACCCAAGCTCCAAGCAGTGGCTTTTGCATATGAATGGCTTCTCTATTGCAGTTTAACCTAGCAAATTTGCAACCTGGTGCAGACAGCTCCAAGCTCCAAGCAGGGAGGAGAGGACTGTGGCTCTCACTGTAGCTTCTGCAGGGTGGCCTCAGACAGTAGCTGAACTGCACCCCATTGGAGATCCAGAAGCCAGTGTATCTAGTGGTCAGTGTGAGACACCAGATTTCAACTCCTCACATCCATAAGTGACACATTTGGGAGGCAGACTCAGTGAGCACCAAAGCCCCACTGAAACAAGGCCTGCACCATAAGCATGTCTGCAGTGCAGCAGTTCTTCTGTTACAGACACAGCAGGTCCCCACAGCCAATTGGCCTGAAGGTCAATTCCTCCCAGTGTACCAACAGCAATAAAGGCTTAACTACACCAAGACTTTGCACTCAGCCCACAAAAGGGTGTACCAAGAGTGACCACCTTGAGTGATTGAGGAACTGAGCTACTAGCCCCTATAGGTCACCTACCTCACAAAGCCACTCCATCAACACAGGGAGGCAGCCAAAATGCAGAGACATAGAAGCATGTCATGAATGGGAGAGATGGAGGAAAGTACTGGATGACACAGAGTTCAGAACCACATTTATAAGGTTACTCAAGAATCTTCTGAAAACCACTGAGAACTTGAAGAGACCTTCAAGGACCTTAATGAGAATACCAAAAAAATGGAAAAGAACCAGTCAGAAATTAAGCATACACTGTCTGAAATAAAGAATATACAGAAACTCAACTGTAGATCAGTGTACCCCAAGAATCAAACCAAAGATCTGGAATATGAGGAAGCAAAAGACACCCAACCAGAGAGGCAGAAAGAAAGAAGAATCCGAAAGTGTGAGGATAGTGTAAGGAGTCTCCGGGACGGCTTTAAGCGTACCAACCTCTGGAGTTTTGGGGTGCCAGAAGAAGAGAGCGAGCAAAATATTGAAAGCTTATTGGAAGAAATAATGACAGAAAACTTTCCCTACCTGGTGAAATAGACTTACAAGTTCAGGAAACCCACAGAACCCCAAACAAGAGGAATCCAAAGAGGACCACACCAAGACACATCATAATTAAAATGTCAAGGGCAAAAGACAAAAAGAGAATCTTGAAAGCAGCAAGAGAAAAAGTTACCTACAAAGGAGTACCCATACAACTGTCAGCTGATTTCACAACAGAAACTACGCAGGCCAGAAGGGAGTGGTTAGAAATATTCAGTGATGAACAGCAAGAATCTACAACCAACATTATTCTACCAGCAAAGCTATGGTATCATTCAGAATTGAAGGTCAGATAAAGAGCTTCACAGATAAGAGAAATCAAAAGGAGTTCATCACCACCAAACCAGAATTACATGAAATGCTGAAGGGTATTCTTTAAGAAGAGGAAGAAGAAGAAAAAGTAAAAACTATGGACAACAAAAAGTCATCAAATATATACCTACCAACAAGTGAATCTAAAAATCAAGTGAATAAAAAATCTGAAGAACAGAATAGGCTGGTGAATATAATAGAATCAGGGACATAGAAAAGGAGTGGATTGACAATTCTCAGTGGGGAGGGGTTTGAGGAGTGCGGGAAGAGATTGGACAAAAATCTTTTATCTGTGGATGAAGACAGTGGTGGGGAGTAAGGGTGTGTTGTGGGGAACCAGGTGGAGGGGAGCTATGGGAGCCTTTATTGCTGTTGGGGCAGGAACTCCTGTAATAATCTGAACAATAAAGATTTATTATAAAAGGAAAAAAAAAAGCTTGCCTAGGAAATATTAACCTACCCGCTGTATTCGCCAGACCTTGCTCCTTCAGATTACCACTTGTTCCAATTAATGGCACATGTGCTTTGATTACAAAATTCACCATTATTAACTGGTACACCAAGTAGGCTGACACAACGGGCAAGTAGGAGGGAAGTTTATTAAAGGAAATGGGGGATGGAGCCATAACCCGGGAAGGTTAGGACTCAGCCCTCACTGTCCTTGGGGTTGAATTTTATGCACAAATATCGCAAGGGGCAGAGCCTGGGGGTTGTTAGTGTTCTAGTCTGCTTAGATAGAGTTCATTGTGTTTCAGACTGATTGGTGCTAGCCATTGAAGCTGTGGGCTGTGGGCTGTAGGCAGCCATTGTTATCTTTGGCCTGCTGTCTCACCCTCAGGTGTGGCTGCCTCCTGTTATGCTGGATAGGGTGATCGCAGGCTGTTCCATGAAATGAGTCTGGGGCCACTTTTTCGTTCAGGACTTTCTAGTCCGCCTGAGCCAAATGCCCTTTGCTGGCCTGTTAGGAGAAAGTGGGAGAGCTTGAGAAAGATTGTGATAAATGACAAAGAAGTGCTTAAAAGAAGGGCCAGGTGAATCAGTTCTATTCCCAAAAGAAGACAGTAAAAAAAAAAAAAAAAAAAAAAGATGTAGTAACTGACTTCAAAAATTGGTTCTTAACACCCACCTGGGTATATTAACTTCATGAACTCTTTGTTTCAGCCAACTATCTCTCAAATGTTATTGGTCATGAGGAAAACTGGCTAGAACATTTGAGTGGCTAATGGCAAATGTGTCAGGCACTACCAACAAAACAAAACAATTAGTGCTTCCCCACCTTGTAATGGTTCATCAGTATTCTCTTATGTTAAGGATTGCACTTTCTTCTAACATACTTCGTCAATCACACAAAACTCAGGGAGAGGTAAGGTGGAGAGGTGAGTGTAAGGTGAGGAACACATTCCTGTTAGAATAGGCCAAAGGCTGTCTGGAGAAGGCTTATGGTATTTTCTCGTAACAGAAGACAGAGCAGTGAATAGGTAATTTGGCACTGTTTAAATCATGGTGACTTCATTCAAGATGAGCCTGTAGACTATGAGGTTTAAGGAATTTTTTGAAATGGAGTCAGTAGGTTAGCACAATGTAAGGCCTTCCCAGTTCATCTGAAATCACCTGAAGAAGAACATTCTCAGTTGTTGCTTATGATTGAGTAGTAAGAAGCTTGAAAGCCAGTGGGAAATGTTTGTTCATCTAAATACTTGGGAAATTTTAAGAAATTTAGCAATTTTTTCAAAAAATCTTTTCCTCAAAGTTTTGGAATTCCCTTTAAAATAGAATGCTGAGTAAGGTTTATCAGAGATGATTTAACACATCTAAAATAGTTTGTCAGGTCCAAAGGACATTCACTATGCATAATAATCCCAGGACTTTAAAAATAGTCTGATCCAAATAGGATTTTTATCATTATTTAACATCTTTAATAATAAAAGGGTATATGCTAATTAGACTGGATGTCCTTCCGGAGGTAGCCAGGGCCAGAGGAAAGTCAACCCGTGTCCTGGGTGCCTGTGGGCCTCCAGAGAGAAGGAAGCCAGCCGGGGTCCTGGATGCCAGAGGGAAGCCAGTGCTGGCAGCTGGGGGAAGGAAGGCCTACTCTTGCACGAATTTCATGTATTGGGCCTCTGGTTAGTTTAATAAACATAGATCACACACAAGATGCAAGGGAATAATATTAATGATAGTTCCTTTATTGAGCTTACATTTTAGTAAGAAATTTATATAATTGGAAAAATTAGGATAGTTTTTTTTAACTTTCCTTCTGTTTTTTTTTTTTTTTTCTATATGAGTAGATCTTTAATCATTTTTTCTCCTTGAGAATGATTTATATTTCAAGTTTGCTCTCAGATTTCAGTGAAGCACTGCACATAGGATTTTAGCTGAGCAACCAAGAAATGAGATGACTTCTTAATACTGTTTTCTGGTGTGGGGAAAACACTTATTCTTGATAAGTTTTTCTTACCCTGTTTCTCAGAGATTTTAATTCTTTGGATGAACAAAATGTGGAGAAGAATAACCAACTGGCCTTTGATATTGCTGAAAAGGAACTGGGCATTTCTCCCATCATGACAGGCAAAGAGATGGCCTCGGTCGGGGAGCCTGACAAGCTGTCCATGGTGATGTACCTGACCCAGTTCTATGAGATGTTCAAAGACTCACTCCCCTCTAATGGTAAGGACTAAGGGCTCTGGTGTGGGTGTCTTTCATGTTCTCTGTTGTTCCCTGGCTTTCTTTCTTTCCCTGTGTCCTATATGAGCACCCACAAAAGCAAATTTTACTGTTTTTACTAACCAGCTATCAGGGTTAAGTCCCTGGGATTTTGCTCTTGTTTTTTCCTTCTCAACCACTCATTCTTACCCAAATCTTTCTCACTATATCTATAAATATGTAAAAACCATTTCTACCCAGAATTTTTCTCTTGACTATTATTTTCTCATACTCTTTCTTTCTGAACCAGCCTTATACACACACACACACACACACACACACACACACACACACACACGAGGCCTGATGCACGAAATTCATGCGTGGGGGGTGTCCCTCAGCCCAACCTGTACCCTCTCCAATCTGGGACCCCTTGGTGGATGTTTGACTTCCTGTTTAGATATGGATCGGGCCTAAACAGGCAGTCAGACATCCTTTCACAATCTAGGACTGCTGGCTCCCAACTACTTGCCTGCCTGCCTTCCTGATTGCCCCTAACTGCTCCCCTGCCAGCCTGATTGTCCAAAACTGCCCTCCCCTGATATCCTGGTCACCCCCAAATGCCCTCCCTTGCATATTCCCTCTTTATTAGATAGGGTTTTTTCTTTAGCATATTGGGCAGTCCTAATTGGGTTGGCTCAGTGGATGGAGCATTGGCCTGCAGAATCAAGGGTCCCAGGTTCAATTCTGGTCATGAACATTGGTTGGGGGCACATATCCAGTGGGGAGTGTGCAGGAGGCAGCTGATCGATGTTTCTGTCTCATAGATGTTTCTAGCTCTCTATCCTTTCCCTTCCTCTCTATAAAAAATCAATAAAATATATATTATTAAAAAAAGAAACATTTAAGATTCCTCCATGTCTGCCTGGCTGGTGTGACTCAATGGTTGAGACCTCAGGCAGCCAGCCACCACTGAAAAGGGATCACATACTGGCCAGACTGAGACCCCAGCCCAGGCTGCCATCTCAGCCTGGCCTGGAACAGCATAGTGTGGGTGCGTGGCCCCAGCCCAGGATGCCGCATCTGACCTGAAGATCTCACGGCCCTACCAGCCTGAGACCCCAGCCAAGCTTCCGGGGGATCTGCGACTTTGTTACGTGGCCCTGCCATTCTGAGACCCCAGCCAAACTGCCGCTGTGGCCGAGGAATGGCGCAAGGCGCTGGCGCCTCTCAGCCAGACACTCTGGGCTGCTGCGACTGGGCAGGGATCGCTGTGTGGTGGGTGGGCGCCTCCCAGCTAGACACCACCCTGGACTGCCTCTGCTGGGCGGACTTGAGGACCCCAGAGGGGCTAAGAGGACTGGGCACTGCCATCTTGTGGCTATGGGCGCTGCCATTTTGTTGCGGAGTGATGGTTAATTTGCATATTTTGTCTTAGAGTGATGATTAATTATTAGATAAGATATATACACACACTTTTTTTTTTAAATTTCAAAGAGGGAGAGGTAGAAACATCGGTGATGAGAAAGAATCATCCATAGGCTGCCTCCTGCACGCCCTTCACTGGGTTCGAGTCCGCAACCCAGAATCAAAGCGGGACCTCCAGGTTCATAGGTCAACACTCAACCACTGAACCACACTGGCCTGGCTGAACCACCTTTTTAAAAAAAAGTGGGCTATGCCGAAACCGGTTTGGCTCTGGATAGAGCATCGGCCCACGGGCTGAAAGGTCCCAGGTTCGATTCTAGTCGAGGGCATGTACCTTGGTTATGGGCACATCCCCAGTAGGGGGTGAGCAAGAGGCAGCTGATCAATGATTCTCTCTCATCGATGTTTCTAACTCTCTATCCCTCTCTCTTCCTCTCTATAAAAAATCAATAATATATATATATATATATATATATATATATATATATATATATATATTTTTTTTTTTTTTTTTTTTTTTTTTTTTTTTTTAAGTGGGCTACTTCCTCAATTGCCTAAACTTTTAACACTTTGCAACCTGGCTTCTGTCATTATTCCTCTGATAGATTGTTCTCCTTGGTAATGAAGAATCACCAAATTCTTGTTTTTTTCACTTCTCATCTTTTATGCCCTTGGCTTTTTGCATTGTTCAGCATTGTGGAATGACATCTTTTGTCTGAAACTCTCTTTTCCTTGGCTTCTGTGATCCTGTACTGGACTGGCTTCGTTCTCTTCCTTCAGTAACTGTTCCTTCTTTGGCTTCTCTTTCTTCTACATTTTAGTGTTTTCCAAAAATCTTCCTTGACTCTCAGCCCAATACCTCAGTCTGTCAGCATGCTACAAAAAATATTTCTGTTGTCACTTATTGTCTTTTGGAATAGCATAATGATTAAGAGTGTTGACCTGGGTTTACATCCTAATACTAATATCTGTTAAACCTTAGGCTAGTTACTCAGTTTTCCTGTGCTCAGTTTTCCCATCTGTAAAGTGGGGCTTTTTCTATATATAACTAGATTGTGATATACTAAGAAGAATGTTTGCAAAATGAAAACACTTAATAAATGTTAGCAATATATTATTAGTTTCAATTATTTTAAAAAATTGCTATTATTACTAATAAAACATTGGAATCCACAGTTTGTGATTCACCAGTATCTCCTAGCCCATGTATTCTCATAAGTGTTTGTAGCTTTTTCTGATTAGATACACAGTCTTTACAACAGAGGTCCACAACTCTAACATCAATGTACACATTCATGGAGAGCAGCCCCCTTAGTGTGCAACCAAGTTCATGGGGTATGCATACACCAAACCAGTGATCCCGTCCTCCCTCCCTTTCTCTCTGCCCTGAAAGTTTATCACAAAGGTGAGGCTTCAACACTACTGTAACAAAAAACAAAAAGCAAAAGTGGGGGTTTTTGTGACTTACAAGGGGAAAGAATTAGTATTGTTTATGTTGATGGAAAAAAGAAGGCTCAGTGTATAAATCTAAGAATGCACTTTCTTTGTAAAATTTCCTGCTTTAGTTCCTCATACTTTTGTCATAGCAGATAAACCTTTAGAGCTTTTGGAGTTTCTGGGAGCCACCTGCAGGCAAGGCAGTTCTGGTCAGTACTTTGAAGCCCCCTCTAATGCTATGGTGGAAAATTGCTTTCTGTTCACAGATGCCTTGGACTTGAGTGCTGAAGAGAAAGCAGTCCTGATAGCCAGCACCAAATCTCCTATCTCCTTCCTAAGCAAACTTGGGCAGACCATCTCTCGGAAGCGTTCTCCCAAGGTAAATGAAAAAGGTTGTTGTTTTTTACCAGCTGTATATCCAATGGCAATATATAGTGACTAGAATAATGCAGTTTGGCTACTCTCTTGGTATAGGATAAGAAGGAAAAAGACTTGGATGGTGCTGGAAAAAGGAGAAAGACCAATCAATCAGAAGAGGTGAGAATTATATGGGATTTGTTAGAATGGTTATACTCAATTGCCCTTTTTGTCTTAAAACCGTAATTTTCAAATTGATGTTGCTAGATCTTTTTATATTAACCCTTTATGAGAATTTTTAAAAAAATATATTTTATTGATTTTGTACAGAGAGGAAGGGAGAGAGAGAGAGTTAGAAACATTGATGAGAGAGAGTCATCGATCAGCTGCTTCTTGCACACTTCCTACTGGGGGGTTCATCAGCTGCCTCTTGCACACCCCGTACTGGGTATAAGCCCGCAACCAAGGAACATGCCCTTGACCGGAATCGAACCCAGGACCCTTCAGTCCCCAAGCCGACGCTCTATCCATTGAGCCAAACCAGTTTGGGCTATGAGAATTTTTGTGAGCAGATGCTTTTTCTGTGGGCTTTTGCCTTTGTTTATTTTTTTTTGGAGAGCGTTCAAAGGAACACACACACACACACACCTGCACCAGAGCTTTCCTGTCTCTTTGGAATCACACATCTGGCAAAGGGCATTGGCTTTCCTGGGGTGTGATAATCCCAGTAAAAGTCTGAGTACCTCTTTGTATTCCATCTTGAGATTAGAACTTTGAGGAGAGCTGTTACAGTTAATCTAAAGCAGAAATACTAGCCACTATGCCAAGTCCTAGCTGTATTTTTCCTTTGAGGGAAGGGCATTTGGGGGCTTCTCTAACAGAGGCTGGTTCTTTGGTGTTGATATTGATCAGGAGGAAGTACCCGGTGTGTGCAGAGGAAGATCCACATTAGTGAGTACTCTGCCTGACAGGAGGACTGATGTCACACTCAGCAACCAGAACAAAGTAAAGTACATGGCAACCCAGCTGTTGGCCAAGTTTGAAGAGAATGCACCTCCACAGTCCACTGGCATAAGGAGACAGGTAAACGCATCTCATGCCTTGCTCATCCACAGTTGATCTGGCTACATAGGAATGAGGTACCTTTTCAGTTGAATGAGATGGGATATTTTACAGACCCGAGGAATCATGGGCTCAAGACTGGTGTCTGATTCTCCCCATGTCTTAACTGTGGCAGAAGAGAACATTTCAGAAGTTCCTCATGCTTTCAGTACTGCTTCATCCTCACCATTCAGGTCTGAGGTATCTGTGACAAAATTCTGTAGAGGGATTTTTAAATTATATGTATACACCTATTCATACGTATATGTTCACATTTAAATTATTAAAAACATACATGCTTATTAAGAAAGATGTTAAAAAGTGATAAAGGGTAATTAAAATATCTCCAATTCTGTTAATATTTTGTTATAGTTCTTTCTGATCTTTTTTTCTTTAATGTATTCTTATTTTCATAGTTGAGGTCCATTCTTATCATACACTTTTCCATTCTGCTTTTTTTCATGTAACTTTGATCATATTCCCACATCATTCCAAACTCTTTACAAGCACCTTTAAGTGTGTGCCATGCTTCTCTTAACTCTCCTTTATGCTGGATGTTCAGTTGTTTCTTATCAACAAATATTCTTGTTACAGACTGCTTTTTTTGTGTTGCAGATGACTTTAGTAGGTTGTCCTTGAACTAAGTTGAGAATATGAACTTATTTTTTCTTTTTGAGAATATGAACATTTTAAAGATTCTTAATGGATTCTTCAGAAAGCCTTGTCTCTCCTCCTGCTTATCTAAAAGTCATTAAGACTTCTTTCAAGAGGAAATGCTGGGATTTTGAAATTTACACTGCAAGTTTCTTGTGAAAGTTCCTGGTGGTTTGAGAGAACCCATCCTCTGCATCCTTTCCCGCTTTCTTCATCTTCTCCACATGCATTAATGCTTGTTCCTGTGGACAGACTAGGGTGGGCACTGACTTACTGACTGTGCTTGGAGTCTGGCCTTAATCAACTTCTCACATCTAGCCATTGGTTATGGCTCACAAAAAAGATGATAATATTCATTCCCTGTTGGCTCTGGCAGCCCAGGTCCCACCCACCTTGGGAAGGCTGGAATTATTCTCCATTAGAGGAAGTTTGCCTCTTCCTCATTTTGAGTGAAAGATTAGTTTTCCAAATCAGAATTAGTACAATAGTTTAGGCTTATAACATTGAGCTAAGGAAAAGGATAATGATAATTACAGCTTTTGTTTTTCCTTTTTTATTTGTTTACATTTGCTTTTGGTTTGTGGAACAGGGTGTTTGTTTTCCTTTATAAGCAAAGCTTTCTAAAAATTCTGTCTTCACCACCATCCCAGTATATTGATGTCTGTCTGTCTTCCACAAGTACCTTTTTTGTACCTTCTACTTTAACATATTTTATTTTGTTTTGTCTCCCGTGTCCTGTCCCCCACCCATATTTGGCCTGTGTGTCACAGCCAACACAAGAGCATGGGGTCAGCCAGCCGTCCTGCTGCCTACCTGATCAGGGTCTCCCTGCTCCCACCCCACAGTGGAAACAGGTAAAGGAACTATCCAGAAACCAGAATGGGTGCTGCACCCCAGGCCTTTCCACTCTGTTCCTCCTTCTGAGCCGCCAAGGTAGAGGCCTGTACTCTAGAATCCCAGCTTAAGATAGGGCATCTCTGTGCCCATTTGAACAATGACGCTGATAAAAGTGTAATAAACAATACTGTTTGTATTGCATGATTTGTTTAACTCCTTGGGATTTGAGAAACCAGTTAGCAGGGTGGGCTGTCAATATTATGAAACTAGCAGGAACTATGTGATTAATTATTCAGGTACCTTTGGGGTTTTGCTATTACAGTTTATTCCAAGTTGACTTCTTGTTCATATGTGTCCTTATGACCATGTTAAATAGGAAAATATTATCCAAGAAATGACTTGAACTATAATTTTTATTTGGTTCAGAACCTAGACAAAGATTCTTGTTATAAAGCTGCTTTTGTGTGTTGCAGATGACTTTCCTAGGCTCTCCTTGAACTAGGTCGAGAAATTTGGCATTTTCTTGTGTTTTGTATACATTTAAAATACTCTTTTTAGAAATTTTCACTGAAGTAGTTAGTTGTAGGATCTCCTAGAAAGCTGCTTCTCATAAGCAGTACAGAATAGGACAGAAAGAGGAGGAATGGCACTGGTTGATAATAAGAAACATCAGGGGGCCTCTATTGTACCTCCTCCACATCACAGCTAACAAGTTCCTGCTCCAGTGAGTGCACTGGACTTGTCTTGTGGGTTAGTATCATTTAAGACTAAGATTTTGAGAGGTCAAAGGAATATGCCTTTGATAACTTCTTATGCTATAGAGTGACAGCTATTGCTGGGAAGCACTGAGGAGTGACTGGGTGGGTAATGTTTTCTCCCCCCCCAACCTTTCTTTTAATAAAATGCCGCATTAAAAGCAAGCTCATGAGGCTGAGATGGAAGCTTGGGAACAATGTCCAAACTCATGAAGCCAAGCTGCCTCTTTCCCTCTGCTCGGATGAGATTTGTTCAAGAGTGCTCAATAGAAATTTACTACCATTTTCTTTCCTCACCCTTTCTTTAAAGTCTACGTGGAAGGTATAATTAAAAGGTAATCTTCAGTTGAGGATCACAGAAGGGGAACATGAACTCTAACCTAGACCTCCTGAACTTCAGATTCTCACAGTACTCACGAAGGCATCAGAGAGGGAGAGCAGAGAGGAAAGGAGGGTAACTGTAATACATGCAGAGGGGTGAACAAATGACTCAATGGCATGTGCCTGGGCCACTGTGGGTGAGCTTGCAAAGAAGTCTTAAGGGCAGGAAGTGTGACCCGAGGAGCCTGGCCCAGCTGAGGCCTCTGTCCTGGTGAAGATTGGCACATCAGCTCACTGCCTGATGCAGCCTTCCTGAGGGATATAAGGAGCTTAGTGCTTATGGGCTTTCTTGTGTTTTTCATGTTTAGAAGGATCTGGCCCCTCTGGCCTCATCCACAGTACTACATGTAGATGAACAGCTATCTTGTCACCTGGGTAAATAGATGGTCAAAATTAGTGAAGTAGAATACTGGTAAGCTGTGCAGGCAGCAGACTAGAGCCATTGAATCCAAACATGGTTTCTGCAGAGTGGGTCCCAGAGATGACACTTAGAAAGAGCACCTGGGTGAATAAATGATAAACCATGAGCAATGAAAATCCTGTTAGATCCTGTGTGCTTCTTGTTATATAGACTTGGGAATTGTAAATTTACTTGGCTGTGAATTATAATTCACAGTTCTTACATCCATGTGAAATGTATTGTATTCACATATAATTTTTTTCTCAACACTAAAGCAGGAATGGTTTCATGAATCTTGGCCTTGTAAATGTCTCTCTAAAAAAATAAAATATTGGAAAGCAATGCCAGATGCTACAGAAACCTATGGTCAGAGGGACTCCAGTGGTGCATTGGAGCCCTCTGCTTCTGACTCACCCTAACTGCCAACCCCATTTAACACCCTTTAGGAATTGGGCAGGGGCTGACTGGCAGCACCTTATCATGATTCACTTTGTGTTTCTCTTGAAGTGGTTCAAGAGAGGCAGGAGGGTATGGCAAGCACAGCATTGATGGCTGAGTTGGCACCAGAACCAGTTTTTACTTAGGTCATAGTATGAGAGGGAAATGAATAATAATGTGGTTATCTGTGACTTCTGTTTTTTACCTTCCTGTGTATACATTTGGTTCTTCCCTCTCCACCCTTTTGTCTTTTGATCTCAGAAGTGCATCCTACAGGCAAACTCCTCATTATCCAGCCTAGGTTTACAATTAGGTTGTCATGAGAAGTGGGAACAGATAGGGGAATTGCTTCCCTATCCCACTAGTTCTCTAAGATCTGTATGCTGGCCCCACATAGTCTTTCTGGGCTCAATGAAGTGAGGATTCCTCTGACCTAGGAGTATGCGATTATTTACTAAGTCCTACAGGGTTCTCAATCATAGGTTCTCAAGGAAAAAGATAAGACAAGATTGAAGAGGGATAAGATGGGGAAATAATCTGTGGGCATAGGTTTGTTTTCAGGTAGTGGAAGATATTTAAATTTTTAAAATATATTTTATTGATTTTTTTACAGAGAGGAAGAGAGAGGGATAGAGAGTTAGAAACATTGATGAGAGAGAATCATTGATCAGCTGCATCTTGCACACCCCCTACTGGGGATGTGCCCGCAACCAAGGTACATGCCCTTGACCAGAATTGAACCTGTTACCTTTCAATCCACAGACCTACGCTCTATCCATTGAGCCAAACCGGTTTCGGCAGATATTTAATTTTTATATCCTATTTTCTGTACTTTCTTGCATTTCCTTGGTAGTTTTCCAGAACCTTTTCAGTATGAGGGGACTCGGAAGAGGAAATAATGGCAAGATTTTCTCATAGTTGGTCCCAAAGGAGAATGCTGCTCTGCTCCTGTTGGGTGGCAGGTGATAAGCCATTGGGAGGGTCTGCATGACTCCCTCCTGTTGATTGTCTGTGTGTCTTTTCTCTCTATTTATAACCAAAGTCATTTTTTATGTCTTCCAACTGATGATATATAGTCTTGATCCCTGATGTTTAGAAAGTACTACACCCCAAGATCAGCTGCACCTAATAAACAGCGGGAGTCTGACCTGAAGACCAACAACAGGCTATGACACACCACCCTCTCTGACCATACAGTGATTTGCTGTTGAGGATGGAGGGGCAGGGAAGGGGGACTCTGATATGTTTTTTGCAAATATCCCTTTATCCTTCTAGAACCAGCCTAAATATGGCCACTGTTTCACCAGTGTTTTCTCTGTTTGTATCTGTTGGTATAAAAGCGACGGGAAAAGGAGCATTCTCGGACCTGCCCAAAAAAAGTGATCGCACTCTCTCCACCCCCTACTCCACCTCCCTGTCGGGCACATGGCAGCCAGCAGGTGACCTCCTCTGCATGCTCCGTTGTCCTGTCTGTGTCTTTCTGCCTGCCTTTGTAGGTGGCTAGGGTAGAGACTAAATCAGGATTCCTTCCTTTCAATTATAACTTTAAAAAAATAGAAAAACCATTTGTAGAAACCATTTTTGTAGCAATAGCAACCTTTATTGCTACAAATGAGCAAATTCCTGATTAGACCTCAGAAGAGTGCAAATTGTATTCAAACCCTGGATAGTTTAATCTAGTCCCATGTCATGGAAATACAACCATACAATCACAAACTAAAATGTATACTGTATTAGTCACAGACATGAGTCCAAACCCTGGAGAGCAACATATTTTTATATAACCCTATTTAAAGCAGCCATTTTTGCCTAGCTACCGAAGGAGATTGAGCTAAGATGAACTTTTGGAAGCTTTTTATAGGGTTTCACTCTATGAGTTTGCTTCCTTCTGATTTTGATAACCCTGCCTCTTGCTTATCCAGCTTCTCCCGTCAAACACTTGCCCTTCCCATCTGCCCCATTCACACTTAGGCAGACCATTCAAAACTGCTTTATAGTAGAGTTAACTGGGGCAACAAGGATGACAAGCATATATTTGTGGCAAGCACACTTACATAAAGTATACTTACAGAATCGCTTTGTTGACCCTTGTAGTCTATTGCTATAAAATGAAATTCAAATATTAAACGTAGGATCTATGGGAAGGCATTTTCTCAACCAAGGTGGCCTATTTTAAAAGTGACTTCCCCAGAACAAAAGATGCACACAGACTGAGGGTGAAGGGATGGAAAAAAGTTTTCCAGGCAAATGGAAATGAAAAAAAAGCTGGGGTAACAATACTTATATCTGACAAATTAGATCTCAAAGTGAAGGACATAACACGAGATAATGAAGGCCACTTCATAATACTAAAGGGAACAATCCAACAAGAAGAAATAACCCTGGTAAATATATATGCACCCAATACAGGAGCAACCAAATACATTAAAAAAACTACTGGAGGACATTAAGAGAGAGATTAATAGCAATACAATCATAGTAGGAGATTTTAATACCCCACTGTCACCCTTCGACAAATCATCTAAACAAAAAAACAGAAAAGAAATATCAATCCTAAGTGACTCACTAGACCAGATGGAATTAATTGACATCTTCAGAACACTCCACCCCAAAGCCACAGAATATACATTCTTCTCAAGTGCACATGGGACATTCTCAAAGATAGAACACATTTTGGGTCATAGGCAAAGTCTCTTCAAATTCAAGAAGATAGAAATCATATCAAGTATCTTCTCAGACCATAATGGCATAAAACTGGAAATTAACTACAATAAAAATAATCCAAAGAAATCAAACACATGGAGACTAAACAGCACGCTATTAAACAAGGACTGGGTTACCAGAGAAATCAAGGAAGAAATTAAAAACATCCTGGAAACAAATGACAATGAAAACACAACAATCCAAAATCAATGGGACACAGCAAAAGCAGTCTTGAGAGGGAAGTTCCTATCCTTACAAGCCTATTGCAAAAAACTAGAAAAAAGGGTAACAGATGATCTAACTCTACAACTCGAAGAGTTAGAAAAGGAGCAACAAGAAAAGCCCAGTGTAAGCAGAAGGAAGGAAATAACAAAAATCAGAGCACAGATAAACGACATAGAGACCAAAAAAACAATACATAAGATCAACAAAACCAAGAGCTGGTTCTTTGAAAGAATAAACAAGATAGATGAACCTCTAGCCAGGCTAACTAAGAAACAAAGAGAGAGGACCCAAATAAACAAAATCAGAAATGAAAGAGGTGAAATAACAACAGACCCCAACGAAATACAACGGATTGTTACAAAATACTACGAACAACTCTATTCCAACAAACTGAACAACCTGGAGGAAATGGACATATTCCTAGAAAAATACAAACTTCCAAAACTCGATCAGGAAGAATCTAAAAATCTCAATAGACCAGTGACTTGGGAAGAAATTGAAACAGTCATCAGAAAGCTTCCAGCAAACAAAAGCCCAGGGCCAGATGGCTTCACAGGAGAGTTTTACCAAACATTCAAAGAAGAACTAAAACCTATCCTCCTCAGACTTTTTCAAAAAATTCAAGAGGAAGGAACACTTCCAAACTCCTTCTATGAAGCCAGCATCACCCTAATACCAAAACCAGATAAAGACAACTCAATGAAAGAGAATTACAGGCCAATATCCCTCATGAACATAGATGCCAAAATCCTCAACAAAATCCTAGCAAATCGGCTCCAGCAGAGCATCACAAAGATCATACACCATGACCAAGTAGGATTTATTCCAGGAATGCAAGGATGGTACAATATCCACAAATCAATAAACGTGATACATCACATAAACAAATTGAAAGATAAAAATCATATAGTCATATCAATTGATGCAGAAAAGCATTCGATAAAATCCAACACCCTTTCCTGATAAAAACTCTTAACAAGGTGGGAGTACAAGAATCATACCTCAACATAATAAAAGCTATATATGATAAACCCACAGCCAACATTATACTCAATGGGCAAAAACTAAAACCATTCCCTCTAAGAACAGGAACAAGACAGGGATGCCCACTCTCGCCACTCCTGTTTGACATAGTACTGGAAGTACTAGCCATTGCAATTAGACAAGAGGAGGAAATAAAAGGCATCCAAATTGGAAAAGAAGTAAAGTTATCCTTATTTGCAGATGACATGATATTGTACATAAAGAACCCAAAAGACTCCATTAAGAAACTAATTGACTTAATAAATGAATTTGGCAATGTAGCAGGATACAAAATTAACGCCAAGAAATCCATGGCATTTCTATACACCAACAGTGAAACTACAGAAACAGAGACTAAAAAAGAAATTCCATTTACCATCGCACCAAAAAAATTAAGATACCTAGGAATAAATTTAACTAAGGAAGTAAAGGATCTATATGCAGAAAATTACACGACATTGAAAAAAGAGATAGAGGATGATGTAAGGAGATGGAAGAACATACCATGTTCATGGATTGGTAGAATCAACATCATCAAAATGTCCATACTTCCTAAAGCAATCTATAGGTTCAATGCACTCCCCATTAAAATACCAAGGGCATATTTCACTGACCTAGAAAGAACTCTCCAACAGTTCATTTGGAACAATAAAAGACCCCGAATAGCCACAGCAATCCTGAGAAAGAAGGGTAAAGTAGGAGGGATCTCAATACCGGACTTCAAACTGTATTACAAAGCCACTGTTCTCAAAACAGCGTGGTACTGGCACAAGAACAGACATATAGATCAATGGAATAGAATCGAGAACCCAGATATCAACCCAAATCAATATGCTCAATTAATATTTGACAAAGGAGGCACGAATATACAATGGAGTCAAGACAGTTTCTTCAATAAATGGTGTTGGGAAAATTGGGTAGACACATGCAAAAGAATGAAACTAAATCACCAACTTACACCATACACAAAAATAAACTCAAAATGGATACAGGACTTAAACATCAGACGGGAAACCATAAAAATACTAGAAGCATCCTGAGCAGCAAAATCTCAGACGTATGCCAAAAGAACTTCTTCACTGATACTGCCCCTAGGGCAATGGAAGCTAAAGAGAAAATAAACAAATGGGACTACATCAAAATAAAAAGCTTTTTTACAGCAAAAGAAACCATCAACAAAACAACAAGAAAGCCCACAGTGTGGGAGAACATATTTGCAAATAACACCACTGATAAAGGTTTAATCTCTAACATCTGCAGACAGCTGATACAACTAAATAAAAGGAAGATGTATGATCCAATTAAGAAATGGGCAAGGGACCTAAATAGAATATTTTCAAAAGAAGACAGAAGGAAGGCCAAAAGGCACATGAAAACATGTTCAAAGTCACTAATTATACGAGAGATGCAAATCAAAACAACAATGTGGTACCATCTCACACCTGTCAGAATGGCCAACATCAACAAATCGACAAACGACAAGTGTTGGCGAGGTTGCGGAGAAAAAGGAACCCTCGTGCACTGCTGGTGGGAATGCAGACTGGTGCAACCACTGTGGAGAACAGTGTGGAGTTTCCTCAAAAAACTGAAAATGGAACTCCCATTTGACCCAGTAATCCCACTCCTAGGAATATATCCCAAGAAACTAGAAACACCAATCAGAAAGGATATATGCACCCCTATGTTCATAGCAGCACAATCTACAATAGCCAGAATTTGGAAACAGCCTAGGTGCCCGTCAGCAGATGATTGGATCCAAAAACTATGGTACATCTACAAAATGGAATACTATGCTGCCATAAAGAAGAAGGAATTCTCATCATTTGCAGCAACCTGGATGGAATTGGAGAACATCATGCTGAGTGAAATAAGCCAATCAATGAAAGACAAACACCACATGACCTCACTCATTTGTGGATAATAAAGAGCATTATAAACTGATGAACCAAAAGATAGATATAGAGACAGTAAAGCAACAAGCAGATTGTCAAATTACAGCGGGGAGGGGAGGAGGATCTGGGGGAGATAATAGATCAACCGAAGGACTTGTATACATGCATATAAGTACAACCAATGGACATAAAACTATGGGGAGGGAGGGGATATGGGGGAGGGAGGGAGGGGGGCAAAAAAAAATCATTAAAATATGTAAAAAATAAATAAATTAATTAATTTAAAATAAAATAAAAATAAAATAAAAAAAATAAAAGTGACTCCCCCATAATGTGTCTGATTTTTAAAGGCCCAACCTGTGCCGCTGGGTCTAAGAACTGAGCTACTGTAGGTGTAGTGCTACCCTGTCCCTTCTCTCTACATAAGAGCTAATATTTAGGAGCATTCACCATGACTTAGGTAGTATTCTAGGCTCTTTTCATGTGTGATATCAAGCAGTTCTTAACAATAACCTTACAAGACTGGTACTTTTTTTTTTATTATTATTTTAAAATACAAACCCTTGTGTCGAGGGCTGACTTTCAATAGATCGCAGTGAGGGAGCTGCTCTGCTACGTACGAAACCCCGACCCAGAAGCAGGTCGTCTACTAATGGTTTAGCGCCAGGTTCCCCACGAACGTGCGTTGCGTGAAGGGCGTGGGGGCGGCCCCCTTTCCGGCCGCACTCCGTTTCCCAGGACAAAGGACTCTCCGCACCGGATGCACCACGCTGCCGCGGCAAAAGACTGGTACTATTATCTCTATTTTACAGATGAGGAGATTGAGTCATATAGTAAGGAGGTAATTTGTACAAGGTCACACAGATGGTCCAGGAACAGATTCTGGATGGTGTGACTCTGGAGCCCAAACTCTGGCCTTATCCTGCCTGTGGAGACAATATGCTCATGGGCTCTGGACAAGAGTAGACATACCGGAAACTTTGGATCAGTTACATACCAGGACGAGGCCATAGGTGAATTTTCAGTTATCCAAAGAGTGATAGGAGCGGCAATTTCTGTCCCTCTACCCCTAGGATTGCTGCTTGAGTGGTTGTCTCAAATCAGCAGAGGCAGCCATGTCCTGTCTTACAGGTTCCTACCCAGTCACATGTATTTTCCTGCTTACTGAAAAACACTTCTAGTCTTTGTCCTCTTCTCTCTTGACAAAAGTATGTGTTTGTCCCATGTTCCTATGAAGGGACCACTGCCAATCCTGTACTTCCCTCTGGATTTTTCTAGCTGTCATGTATTCCAGCCAGTTTTCATCTCTCACCTTCCCTTTATGCTGTCTATGGAAAGCTTCACCCTTCTAACCTATCTCTCCTTTTAAACCTCCCACTTAATGCCTCTGATCTTGTACCACCCTGTGAAAGAAATATGTTTGTCCCACCTTTGTACTAAGTAGTTCTTTTCTTTTCTTTTAAAGATTTTTATTTATTTTTAGAGAGAGAAAGGAAAGAAATGGAAAAGAGAGAAACATCGATGTGAGAGCAACAACCATCAGCTGTCTCCTGCATGCCCCCTACCTGGAATTGAGCCTGCAACCCAGGCATGTGTCCTGACTGGAAATCAAACTGGCAACCTTTCAGTGCATAGGACGATGCCCAACCAACTGAGCAACACCAGCCAGTGCCATACTAATTAGTTCTTTATTTATTTATTGGGAGCCCAGGTGGGCAAAGTAGCTGTGCCAAAAGTTGTCCTTGGGTCACAGGGTTTGATATAGATGGGATTGTGGTTCCTTGGAATGGGGCTTAGTGGAAGCCAGGGGATTTGTGTTGAAAAGAACTCTAAATTTCTGGCACTGTCACTTAGTAGTTCCAAATATAGCATTTTGATGGAGCTTAAATTTCTACTTTGTTGCCAACAGACGCACAGGGATCTTGATGCTGACAGCTGTGGCAAGCAGAGTCCCCATCATGAGAGGGTAAAAGAGCATGAACCATGGCATGGGATGCTACTGAGAGCCACACAGATGGGACACGCTGGAGGGGTGGGGGGCAGAGGGAAGGTGAGGATGGTCCCTTCTCCCCTTGCTTTTTGTACTCTTTTGTAACCCAGCCAAGAGACAGAGTTGGTTTTTTTGTTTTGTTTTGTTTTGTTTTATATTTTGCTAACAGTGTTGATCCTTGCAGGTAGCATTCACCCACCCAGAGTTCAGATCAGGTATGGATCCTGAAAGTCTGTATAATTCTAAAAAGCCCAATGACTTCCCATTTCTGCCCACCTTTCTCATTCCAATATATGTGCCAGTGGCAGAATAGCATTTGACTACCAGGTATGACTTAGGGCAAGGCTCTAGATCAAAAGGCAGGAGGTATTTGCTTAGCTCATTTGACAGTGGAGTACCTTGAGGTAGAAATACCAAGAGAATTCTTACTGATGTAGGGGAAAGAAGGTGATAACAAGATAGGGTTGCAACTAAAAGGCTTGAGCCAATCTTTTCTGAAAAACTAAAAGGGGAGATTACTGTTTATACCTGGCTATTGTATAATTTGATGAAAAGCAGAGATGGCCCATTTTTAAAAGCCTGCTTATTTTATTAAATTTTTTTTTGGTTGTTATTGTTACCTGTAAAGATGACCTATGAGTAGCTGTAGCTGTGCAGCTGCAAATTTCACAGGGGTCTTTTAAAAACTTTTACCTCCCCTTCTGCTTCTGCTCTCTGAGAAGTATAATTATTGCTCAGCAGCAAATCTGGTTACTTCTCGGATCTATTGGGAAGTTAGCCATAGTGCTATCTTCCTGTATCTTGTCACTGAGCCAAAATCAGGTGATCTGGACTGCCAAGAGCACTTGGTACCAGGTGCTGGGGTAGCAGGAAGGAATCTTCCTGAAGTGGAGAGTGGGAACCTTTTCATCTCCTCACCCCCGGCCCAGCTCTGCTTTGTTCAGTTTTGGGACTGCTTCCTCATGAGCTCTGTGTGTGTCCAGCCTCTGTCTTTTTCCCATTCTATATTCTTCTCAAAAAGAAAATGAGCCACTTTCACTGAGTGGGGCAATGCCCTACATTTTGGGGAATATATATTTAATGAGGTTTTAATGATTTTTACTGAAACTGACATGAAGAATGGAGAAAAGTATCCTATATAATAAAAGGCTAATATGCAAATTGGCACAACAATGGAGTGACTGGTTGCTATGAAACACTGACCACCAGGAGGCAGACACTCAAAACAGGAGCTGCCCCCTGGTGGTCAGTGCACTCCCACAGGGGGAGTGCTGCGCAGCCAGAAGCCCTAAGCCGGGCTCATGGCTGGCAAGCGCAGCAGTGGTGGCTGGAGTCTCTCCCATTTATGTGGCAGCACTAAGGTTGTCTAACTACTGGCTTATTCCGTCAGTTGGACATTCCCCGGGGGCTCCTGGACTGCGAGAGGGTGCAAGCTGGGCTTGCCCTCCTCTACTGTCCCCTCCCCTAGTGCACGAATTTTGTGCACTGGACCTCTAGTGTTGAATAAAAGGAGAATTGGGCAAGGAGAGAATATTAAAAGTCTAGGGCTGTGGTGTACAGGAGGAAAGATAGCAAAATTGCAGGGAGTTTTTTTTCTTCATTTTACCAAAAGGCTGATTTCCAGATTCTTTAGTGCAAGTCCTATCTAGATGTTTTTAAGAGTCTCTTATGTTCTCTTGCAGGACTTTCTACTATCCCCTAATTGTACTTGTGTACTCACCTGCCCTCTGCCCCACCATCTTCTCATTTCCTCCCTTCCCCTATTAGCTTCCATTGCTCTGCCACCTTGGGAAAGCTTTGTCTTCTTTCTAGTGGGTCACACTCCTATATGTGATCTCCCCATGCTCCTCCTTGGGCCCATGAGTTCTGAGTTGAGAGCCTATGAGCTGGCTGAGCAGAGGCTGGTGGCATTCACATTGTCAACCCTCTAAGCTATGAAGTTAGTGTGGGCTGAAATAGCAGCACAATAGGTCTGCTTTGGGGTAGAGGGCAAAGGGTCTCCTTACCAGGATAGTACTCTTCTCTCTCCTGCGAGTATTTCACCTGAACCTGCTGGGAAACTAAGCATTCATTGTTTGTTAATGCTCTTGGCTACCTTCATTGTCAAGGGACTGACTTGTACACATACTGCATCCATCCTGCCCAGGACTTGAGAGCTCAGGTCTTTTCTCCAGATAATTTCTGGGATTCGCCTGGCTCCTTGGTGAGCAGCGTTTCTCTGAGCACTAACAATCGGAGGAGGAAAAGCAACATCCCTAGGCTTTATGTAGAAGTAGCAAGCTTAACTTTGCTGTCTCTACTGTTTGCTATTTATAAGGCTAGTGGAGTGAAAGGTGGTAGTATCTCTTGCCCAGTAGAAATCCCAGCTCAGGCTGGTTAGAGACTGTGCAGAGCACAGAGTATGTGGGTCAGCAGGACATCGCCTCTGCCTCTGGCCACCTTGTGGCTGACAGCATTATCTACATGGGGAAAATGAAGTAAGAACACTTTTAGAGTACTTGTGGCTATGATAATCATATTCTAGCACAAGTATCCCTAGAAGCAGGAGGGAAGGGTGAACTAAAAGCAAAATGCAAGCCTTGATTGAACCATTCATGCTTCTGGGTACTATGGATATGTCTTTACTATGTATTTAAATAACGGTCTAAAATTTAAAAAGACCCAAAACTGGCCTTATGGTCAGGCCAATCTGTAACTTACTTAAAACGTTTCCTTTGATTTTTTTTTTCTCCATCTTGTATTTTATAGCCAGGGCCTGAACCTTCTCGACGATTTTTTGTTCACCAGTGGGAGCTTTCTCTTAATCTTCGCTCCTCCAGCCGCCCTGCCTCTCCTTCCTCTGACTCCCTCCGACAGGTAGCCAGCCTGGAAATTGGCAAAGCTCTATTTCTTCTTAAGCCTCTGCTCACTTCACCTACACAAATGCCACCTGGCCCTAGGGGTATTGCAGAGCTCTGAACTTTGCTTGTCTCCTATAGGAATCTAGTTTTTTTGTTTGTTGTGTGTGTGTGTGCGCGCGCACGTAACAATCTGTTTTACATTTGGGGTTTGTAAGTATAAACTAAGTTTAAGAGGCTACTAGCTTTCATTGCATCAAGTTCTTTTGACATAAACCCACTTCTGTTATATTTCAACTATAATAAAAAATTTTAACTATTTTTCAGCCATTAGCTTTTTTTATAGGTGTCTTGGCCATCTCCAGATGTCTTTATATTAATATGTGTTACAAAATATGAACTACAGTGTAATTAAATCTTTTAAATGGAGTGGTGAATATGCAGTGCCATTGGGTGCTTCATGAATTGTGATCATTTAAGGAATGAACCCTGCTATGTCCTACAGTGGACCTGAAACAGCAATACAGTAGTTTACAAAGAACAGAGGGTCTCTTTGCCTTTCCTATTTGTTTCATATTCTCGTGCCTATAGCAGATCATGGAATATATGTGTGGAAGCATGTGCATGTGTGGCAGAAAAAGTATAAAGCCAGGGATTGCTATGCTGTCGCTATTTCCTAAGAATAGGAAGAAGGAAACTATCTGTTTTTTATGCCAGAAACAAATAGAACTTCTTTTGGGGGGTTGTTTGTCAGTATTATCACATCACTGAGAACTGAATGTGACAAATGCTTTTGCAGGCCGGCAGCCCTGAACTGTCTTTGCTGATTATAAGATGTAATGACTGCTGGTTTCTGGTGCAAGAAAAGGGCTTGCTCGGTTTCCCAGCCACGTATTTGACATCTAGCCCATGCCCTCACTTACCTGTTGCAAAATGAATGAAGCTGTTAAACAATCTGCTCAACTCTGCCTGCTGTCTATCTGTTCCAGGCCTCAGCTCTCCTAAAGACTTTAATCTGAAGAAAGTTTAACTTAAGCCACTTATTATTCTCAACCACTATAATACTATAGCATTAAAGAGCAAATAGCAACAATTCTTGAAAATCTCCTTAACTTAAATAAAAAAATATCTCACTTTTTAGTTCCAACTAAACCTTACAGAATTGTTTGCCCATTTTTACATAAAGTTAGTGTTCTCCTACAGTGCTTCTCTTATTAGTTCCTGCTAGCCCAGGGCATGCCATTGCTCAGGCCAGTGATTCTCTCACACATGGCTTTGTGTTTGTCCATGCAAACCAATTTCTAACTAGAGTTATTGGCATCCTCAAGGCAACTGCTTCTGGTGTGCTCTAAGTCAGAATTAGAGTCAGGCTCCTCAAACTTGGTAGGCAGAACCTACTCCACATAGTTTATGAGAGAAGTGTCAGACACATAGGTGTCTTGGCCCACTCAGGAAGGGTAACCTGGGCGTGGAATCTCTAAAGGACTGCCAGCAAGACTTTGACCTCTTTCCCTGGGGACAGACTTGAAGTTAGGTTTCCTAGCAGGAATGTTTACAATGAAAACTTGATAGTTTCTTCCTGTTACTTCAATATTGTTAGGGAAAAAGGATTGAGTAGATTTATCTTGTTTCAACCTATTTAAAAAAATTCTGTGGAATAGAAACATATTCTGACTACCCAAGACTAAACTGAGCAACTTGTCTATATGCTACATGTGTTAGCCTCCTGCAGCTATGTCTAATATGCTCAACCCAGCATGGAAGGCTTTGGTGTTAGTGCCTTGGTGGAACACAAAGTCAACAATGAGAATAGGCTGAGAAGGGGTCTTTCAGATAAAGCTCAGGAATATTTTATGTTTGTGACAGGGCTTTTGAGTGAAGTATTAATAATGAGGAAGAAAGTTATCTATTAGTTAAGAGAGCATCAGCTTTTGCAAGAACGAGCTTTTTAAATGAGGAAATAACTTCACAAGCCACCAGATCCTTGAATCATGCTGTCAACAGTCTGACATCTGCTGTTTGGATGGGCATCATTCCTCTCAAGTTCTCTATATGTAATTCCAATCACCAGGATATAGGCCCTTCTTACTTTTTTCTGTATTTGCATTCATTCCAACCTCCTACCTCCCAATTACACAACACTCTATATTCCAAAAAGACCTGAAAGACTATGCTCTTCCTTAATGGATTAATTGCTCCTGCCTCTCCTGAGTGCTCTATGTGGACATTGACACCTGTGTTTCTTACCACCTTGTTTCTTTGTACACTGTGTGGGCATGGTTTGCTGCTGCACTCTGAATTCACTTTATATCTTTCAAAGAGTTTTTTCCTGTCTTCTTAATTTATTTATTTTTTCCTTCCATTTCCCTTCATTCTGGTCATTTTATAATCTCCAACCAATAGAAGTATATAAAGATGTACACGGGTGGAGTGAGCTCATTGGCTGAGCAGATAGCCAATCAGCTTCAAAGGAAAGAACAACCCAAAACCCTTCTAGACAAGAAGGAACTGGTAAGATATATACTAAGGACATTGTCTCTAGATATAACACAGCTATGGCAAACACACCTCCTTCATTCTAAGTAGTGTAGTAACACACAGTATGTGCCAAGTGGTAATTTTTTTCAGGTTGTCTGAATTTTGTAGCTGAATTTCCTAGGAAGTGATAGTTGTTTTAATTAGAATGTTGTATGTTTTAATATCTCTAAAAGTGATTGCTCTAGAGTCCAGGGAACCCACATCCATGTTGAACTACATGAACACGTAATATATATTTTTATGTTACCTTCAAAAAACAGTTGTGTCAAAAAAAACTTGGTTTGAGTTTTATAAAACTCTGAAACAAACTCAGGTTTTCTCTTGGCTTGAATCACATGAATTCAGAATCCACTGGTGTTGTGTGCTATGTGGAATATGTGAGACAGTCACTAGTAATGCAGCTGCTCTTTGGGAGAGCCAGGAGCAAAGTGAGCATCTTAGTCAGACTCAGAAAAAAAATCTCTTAGTAAGGGTTGGTTTCACCTAAGAAAGGATCATGCAGCTCTTGGAGACATTGCCCTGACATGTGTGCCTCACATCCCTTTATAGGGTTCAGTAAAGAAGGAGTTTCCACAGAATTTGGGAGGCAGCGACACGTGCTATTTTTGCCAGAAGCGGGTCTACGTGATGGAGAGACTGAGTGCCGAAGGCAAGTTCTTCCATCGGAGCTGCTTCAAATGCGAGTACTGTGCCACCACGCTGCGCCTCTCGGCCTATGCCTATGACATTGAGGACGGTGAGTCTGTTTTACTTGAGGCCATACTTAAAACTGAACTTAGGGCCCTTTTTTCCATTTGAGCGGATCTTTTGACCTCTTATTATGCTCTTATGTATACATTTTATCATTCTGCCTCTCCTACCCATTCCCATCCATCTCCTTCTAGTCTTTGTTTTTTTCTCTAAAACTTTCCTGGCTTCACAAACATTTGCTTTCTTACTTTATGGTGGGATCTTAAGATATAAGGGACATGATGTGGATAAGTCTTTTTTTTCCTCTACTTTAGAGAAGGGAAATCACAGGCCTGTAAAAGTCACATTTCTTGCCTAAGGTCAGTGACAACAAGTTGAAACCAGATCCCATGCCCCTGCGTTCTCAGATTTTTGCCTCCTGAAGATGACAGAATTGTGCCCACTGTTCCCACCTCTCTGTAGCCTAGTATCTATCTGGTGAATTGAGGACTCATGGCACAGTGCTGTGATATTATTTACTGTGGTGTTCAAGTCTTGGCCTTTGGTGATAGTTAAAAGTCCTTGATAGGGCAGAAGATAGAAAATTATCTAAACAGAAAACAATGCCTGCCATCTGAAACCCTTTAAGATTAATCAAAAAAGGTCACACTGATGATCCTACATCCCTGTCTGCAAGATGGTATAGGAACTTCATGAAAGTTAGTCTTACTGATTCAAAAGGAACGAAAAGCCCTAGATTAATAGAAGATGGAAGTTAGTTCTCATAGGGGTGACATTAAGTCCATTACATAAGTGTTTTCAGGAGATACAGGATACAGGAGAGGGATACCATGCAGTTAGGAAATAGTTACTTCAGTCATCCAGTCCCTCCTTCTAGTGAATAAATAGGCTGTCAAACAGTCAGAAGTAACCAGAAAGGAGCCAAATTGGTGAACTGAGAAAAGTTAACTTACCATTAGGACACGTGTTCCTTTTGTTATATTCGTGAAAAGCATCACCCAGGGAGGAAAAAAACTAAGACAGTTGTCTAGACAAGGAAAGTATGGTATCACATAATGTATTTTCTGTTCCACTGTTCCCACACACCTCTTTGAATAACAACTTTGATCTCTAAGGTTGGTGGATGAAGCTCACTCAATGCCTTATTAACTGTCCTCATTGCTTGGATTATTTTATTTTATTTTATTTTATTTTATTTTATTTTTTAAATATATTTTATTGATTTTTCTTACAGAGAGGAAGGGAGAGAGATAGAGAGTCAGAAACGTCGATGAGAGAGAAACATCAACCAGCTGCCTCTTGCACACCCCCTACTGGGGATGTGCCCGCAACCAATGTACATGCCCTTGACCGGAATCAAACCTAGGACCTTTCAGTCCGCAGACCGACGCTCTACCACTGAGCCAAACCGGTTTCGGCTGCTTGGATTATTTTAGCCTTTTACTGTATATAGTCTGCCTTGAAAGAACCCTAAAAAGTCCAGCCAGTTAGTCCACAGGTATTTTTGACCATAGGCTATGGGCTTACTGTTGTCACATTTTCTTGAGGATACAACTAAAGTGTAAAATTGCTTTAAGGAGCTTTTATTCTGATTGGAATGATAAGACAAGGGCAAGTGAAGCAACAACAAACAATGAGAGAATATATGTTAAGGGCAGAATTATGTAGTATGGATTATAACATTGTAGAAGTTCAGAAGAGGGAGGAATCTATAAAGCTCAGTAGTCATTAGGAATGACTGAACTGACCTCAGGCTCAACTCAGAGAGTAGAGGGAAGAGATGGTATATGAGGCAAGAGGATGAAAGGAGCTCAGTGAGAATGACTGTGATGTGGGGACAGGACGAATCCAGCCAGCCTGGTAAGTGCATTGCTCTTGACACTGAAGCAGGGAAGACAATGGGTCTAAACCAACTCCCCAAATTTTGGCCCCAAAGAACTTTTTAGCAGCTCCATCAGCTCAGCCTCTCCACAAAGGACAGCTTCTAGAGGAGAAAAATGGAACTTTAGGGGTCCTAAAATTTTAACCTGGTCTTTAACCAAGTTACTGTGTGATTCAAACTCTAATTCTATCTGAGCCTCAGATAAGAAAAGAAAAGCTGGGGAAGTTGTGGCTCAGGACAAAAGAAATTGCCCAGGTGCTGTCCTGGGCCTTTAACATATATCAGGTCATTTCATCTTTATACAACCCCAGAAAGTGGCTAGTTTTATTATTGTAATTTTACAAGTCAGGAAACTGAGTTCAGAGAAGTTAAAAGTTGCTTTTTTAACTTCTGAGTTAAAAAAAATGTTAAAAATTCCTTTTTAATTAATTGTTAAAAATTGCCTTTTAACAATTAGTGCAAACTAGCAACTAGTAGGTGCTGGTTTGCACTAATTGGCCTCTGAGGTCCCTTTCTATTCAGATGTTCTGGGATTGGTACTCTCCGTCAATGTCATCTCCAGACTCGTAAATTGAGAACTATATATCTCAAAAAATTTTGTGTGTTTTTCCCTTGTCCCTGTCTATTCTTCCTTCAGCTCTTTTAAAAGGATACAGACTGCCCTAAAAGTAAACTATGCTTTCTCTTGCCAAATACTAGCTTATATTTTACTGCTGACAACTCTGAAGACAAGAATTCCAAGTCAGACAGTATTTGCAAGTCCTTCCCTGTCATTTTGAGGAGAGAAAACACATGCTGCCTGCTGAAGTGGTCTAGGAAGGACCACCCTTAGTAGCATAAGCCTGAAATAGTTTGCGCTCTCCATCACTGTCCATCCTACCTTGACCACCACTGCATCTGCCACCTAGACTTCTGGTCTCTGTGGCTCCACTATTGCCCCCTACAGACTGCTTTCATAAAGCAATCAGGAGAATGTACTAATAAGTCAGATCTTAACAGTCTCCTGCTTTATTTCCTTCCTATCTGCTACAGATTTATACCAACAATCTTCACAGCCTTAGAGCTTCACTTATCTGTCCCAGCCTGTATCTCCAGTCTCTCAGCTGTTAGCTGTACCCTGGCTCATTGTATTCCTCCCACACTAGTCTCTTTTTCATTCTATAAATGGTTAGCCATTGCTACCTAAGGACTTTGCACTAGCTGTCTCCGCTCCTAGAATGTACTTCCCCATATCTTCTCAGGATGGGCTTCTTGTCATTCACATTCCCACTTTCTGTACTCCAAGCATGTCAAACTCAAAGGCTAACACGGGCCAAATAAACAAGATTTAGGTTTTTGTGGGTCACAAAAAAACAAAAGCTTTAATTTTCATAGAAACATGGGTTTATTTCGATAGAGACATGCTGAATATAAAGGGCTGAAATAAATGAGTAATTGTTAACATAAAATAATAGAACATTTTAGTAAAATATTTTTAACATTAACTTATCAGACACTGAATAACTATACAAATTAACCTGTTAACCGAGCGGGACCTATAAATACGTCAAACGTAAACAATATCGGGAACAATATGAATACGTCCTTGAAATATATGTTGCACCCCGAGAGGGACAGTATATATTTTTTGTAATCTTTTTTTTTTAATATTTTATTGATTTTTTTACAGAGAGGAAGGAAAGGGGAGGGATAGAGAGTTAGAAATATCGATGAGATGAGAGAGAAACACCGATCAACTGCCTCTTGCACACCCCCGCCTGGGGATGTGCTGGCAACCAAGGTACATGCCCTTGACCGGAATCGAACCCAGGACCTTTAGGTTCGAAGGCCGACGCTCTATCCATTGAACCAAACCGGTTTCGGCTATTTTTGTAATCTTTATCATTATTTGTAAAATTTATAGTTTTTTAATTCGACGTGCCCATTTTTTTTTTTGTCGGTATTCTTTTCTATTTTTTTTTTTGTAATTTTGTATTTTCCTTTGTGCTTTATATATATAAATAAACGAAAATATTTCATTTATTTTCATTAAGTATAAATAAAAAAAAATATGAAATTACATCCTCCGGGCGTGACGTACTGACACGTCCTAGTGAAAGAGTATGTGCCCGTTACAGGTTGTGTCATTAAAAAGGGAACTCCCCAGTTAACAGGTTAATAAGCGTAACGCAAATAAGCCTATTTTTCTTGTTCTTCCAAAGGGAAAAATTTCCTGTTGCGCACTCCAAACAAGTCAGCATAAGATTAATGACATGGCAATAGGCTACTAAAATATTTGCTGCTAGTGGAGAGAAATGGTGCATGTGCGCATAAGGGAAATGAATGCAACACAATTATAATAATCAGTCATTGGCGAATGTCGTAGTTCATTATTAATAACTAGTGGCAGGGAGGGGAATGTCCCTCAGCTTGGTCTGCACCCTCTCCAATCAGGGACCCTTCAGGGTATGTCTGACTACATGAACTATTTGGATTTTGAATTCCACATGGTCCATGTACCATAGTTGATTTTACAGTTTGAAAAAGTCTTCATCCAGAATTTCTGCTTTAACTATACAGTCAGTGTCATCTGTTCATAATTTGGATTTACTATCTAATATAAATAATATATGAGCGTGAGGCAGTCTGCGTTTCTGAAATTCAATACATGAATTTTAGCTATAACTTTACCAAATAAATGGAATTTACATATATCATTTAAAACACACATGTCAAACACAAGGCCCGCGGGCCAAATCCGGCCCGCCAGGCCTTGCAATGTGGCCCGCACCGCACTGCCATCACTACACTCCGCTGCGTTCCATCACAATGACACGCGGTGACATAGGAGGCTTGTGATCTCGCCGGCCGCCTTGCCGGCCGCTGTACTTGCTATCTATTACGCATGCGCATAGATAACAAGTCACGCGAGATTCAGGAGGCGTGACCTATAGTCCGGCATCCGGCATCCGATGTGGTTGTGCGGGTGGCAGAGCAGAGGAGAGAGTGAGTGTGCGGGCATAAAAAATACACAGCAGAAGCTGCCAGTTCCTGGCATAAAGTGCAGGCATAAAAATCGCAACAGAATCTGCTATCTGTACCCAGCCAGGCATTTATTGACTGACTTTTTTTTTCTCCACTCCACCTGCCAAATCAAGCTATCCCTGTGCAGTTTTCAACTTTTT